TTACAGCAGCGACTTACAAAAATTATTGATACATTTTATACACTTGAAGATACCATCGCAGCAAGGAGCACCAGGGAATTATGCGTTTAGGGTGGAAACTCGTAGTGGAAACATCGTCAGCCATAAGAGGATATTTACATGCCTAGAAATTTCCATGGTGACTTTTATTGTGACACTAAAATTTGCGACAGAAATCACAATACCGAATGTTATCACGATTTCCTGGATTTGCAGGATTTTTATACAGATCCAGCCCCTGTTTCTCACAGCGTTTAGCGACTATCACTGTGGAGAAGCGAACGGCGGTGGGGTGCCCCCAGTACCAGCGCAGTGACGTTGTAGCTGTGCTATCTCCGAGTGCAGGAGGCCGAGCCTCTGGCTGTGCGCGTGCTGCTCGGCCTGTAGAGCCTCCTTGGCTCTCTCCAGCCGAGCCCTGGATGCTGGCTCCCAGGGCTCCAGGACACCTCCTACACAGAGTCACCCGTGAGGAAATCATGCATGTATGCAAGGTTTTGTTACAGGTTCTTTAGTTTAATGAGGAAGAGTAATTAAGTTTTTCAGCAGGTTCAGTTGGAGAGTATACTGATTAGAACACTCGTGTTTTCAGCTTGTGTTTTGTGTTGTTTGGCATATCTAGCATTTCACTTCATGTGCTGAGAACTTCTTCAGGAGTTCAGTCCCTCAGCTCAATAGAGGTTTATGAATTGGCTCCCTGCACGTGGAGTGAAATGTCGGACATTCTGAACATTACGCAGTACAACACGTAAACGCATACAGAGGCAGAAAGAGAAAGATGCTGCTTGACAATTTGAAGGTGGTGGAGGCGTACAGGTGAAGTAAAGATGCTCAAGAATGTGATGGGAAAAAAAGGAGTTTGAACCGAGGACATGCCATTGGGCAGAGGACTTAGATGCTTTTCTAGGTCAAGGCAATGTCATCTTGTCTTCCTGTTCAAACAAGAAATGCGTGACATTTACCTCCATTGGTGGGCCTGAGGCAGTGTTGGTGGGGCCCAAGTCTACGTCCAAGGGGACATTCACTGTTGACTTCTTATCCAAGAGCAGGAAATTAACTCAGGCTTGCAAGACTGAGTCCAGCACCAGAAATACAGATCCACTCAGCTAGACAGAAGACAGGCGTTTACTTCCATATAAAATCTAAATACAATAGTTATTATTTATTTTGTTGTACATTTTTTACCGCTCCAAGTACATAATGGTAAACGGAACAAAGAGCATGATACCATACTCTTTGGTTCTTTCGGTAAAGTCACGTAGGTAGAAAAATAATAGACCACGACGTTTAGATCGCAACACAAGCAATCGTCATCAGGTGGGACAACCACAGCAAGAAAAAACTGCTGAAGTGGGCGAGAGATCTGTCGTGGCACGAGGTTATATAGGCCTCGGCAGTAGGGGGGGAGAGAGGAGGTGGGGGGCGAGGGGGGGGCAGGGCAGAAAGTGGACCCCGAGGCAGCACTTGGAGAGATCTGAGAGATCGGCTGCAGGGGGGGAGAGAGAAGGGGGGGAGGCGGGGCAGAAAGTGGACCCCGCAGCAGCACCCGGGTCACTGGAGTAAAGTGGACCCGGCAGCAGCACCCGGGTCACTGGAGTAAAGTGGATCACCACAGCAGCACCGGAGAGATCGGCTGCAGTCGTGAAATGTGAGTGATGAGCTGTTCCAGAAAATTGAGCAGTTCACCTGCCGCATGTACGCTGCTAACAGCAGCACTGGTGAGGTGAACGAACTGCGCTACCAGCTCTTCTGCACCAAAAGGGGAGAAGTCGAGTCCAGCCAGCTGCCACCATGTAGAGACTGTCTCTTCACGCATGTTCGATGAGCCAACTATCAGGCAGCAATCTGTAAGTGCTGTCTGCAGGCTAACCCTGTGGTGCCAAGCCCTGAGTATGGATGGACAGACGATGATAGCAAGCTGGTCATTTACTGGATGTGCTCCCCACCCGCACCAGATGGAGTCTTGGAACTGCTGCCATGCAAGTGTGTGTTCATGCAAAATGCCAAGCTGTACGTGCCTGTCAAATGGACTGACATGCACAGACGTGCAGGTTACAGACCTGCAGTAACCAACAACTGCAGGATGATCCAGAACCTAACTTTGAATTCGTGGAGTCAGATGAGATCGACGAGCAGTTTGATGAGTGACAGAGTGGTGATTCTGATGGTATTACTGTGGTAGTAGTATACATTGATGCAGTGTGGTCATTCTGGATAAGAATAATGTAACCTTCACATATACCCATCACTAACGATATATGGGATTACATGTATCATTGACTAAGTATATGCGAATGTCAATGTTTATAACATTCATGTAGTTCCTTACCTCACTATGGTATTCCTTATTATCCTGTGTTTTCATTGTGTATTTAAACCAATAAAGACTAAGTTTTGGTTTAAAGCTTTCGTGACTGCAGGGATTCATATTCTTGGTTCTTTCGGTAAAGTCACGTAGAAGGGAAACAATAAAATAAAAAAAATACAAATATAAAACAATAAAATTCTCATTTTTATTATTTTATTGTTTCCCTTCTACGTGACTTTACCGAAAGAACCAAGAATACAATAACGACCAGTTTGTGACCTAACTGGCTTTGGTCGAGGTAGTTTTCAGTAATAATGCCCATTTCATCATTCCGGACGTCTGTTATTCAGCAAAGGTTATATCAGAATATGTCCAACACACTGGAGGATTACAAAAATCATTACTAGACTTTGCCACCTCAGGTGGTACCAATAAGTTACTTTTTTGGTCTGGGCCCATGGACTATATATAAACGTAGGCTTCGGCAGGACACAAAGCAACGCGGTTAGGCAATTATGTAATTCATATTTTCACGTCAAATATAACCCCTACTGCACATAGGAAGATGATGAGATCTATTGTAAGGTACTCATAGGCAGGTCATATAAACATATACAGATATATGATGGTGGATAGAGAGAGGCGAAAGTGTCTTATGGCCCAGCCCTGTGCAGTGGGCGTCACCTCAATTTTCCCACAATCACTACCTCGACCCGCCAACATCCATCCCGGCGTTGGGTTACAGATGACCTAACAACAGTCTTGTGAAAGTAAATGCAAACAGCGCATCATGTAAACACGTGGAGCTTTGTTGGCCATGCAGACCGCCTTAGCGCATCTTTGTGTTAAACTAAGAGGGATGGATGTTTGTCAAGGTATAGGAGGAGCCTTAGGGGCCATCCATAAATGACGTCACGCGATTTTGGCCAATTTTTTACCCCCCCCCCCTCGTCACACCGCGTAACAAAAAGTCAGACCCCCCCCTCAAATATGACGTCACAAAGCTCTGCCCCCCCCCCCCAAATTTTTTTTGCATTTTGAAAATAAAACATGCTTCAAATCACTTGAAACTATTGTCATTGTAGAGCATATTTAATGTGGCGCTTCACTCTGATGTATGAGAAAACATTAAAAAGGAGGCGTTGGAAAGCTGACATTTAGCATAAATTTCACTTGAAAATATTCAACGTCTAATAATGCAGATGTTCAGAATATATGGAAATTCTCTTATAATTATAAAATAATAAAAGTTATAAATATAAAAAAATACTTGAAACTTTGTAGTATAACGAAGCAAAATGGAAAGTACAATTATAACAATCACATTCATTCCACAGAATGAAAATCCCTGGTAGAATCATTAGAATCAAAGTGTTTAATAACATTCATTCAAAACATTTACAAAATGTATGCTTCTTCATTCTCCCATGGAGAAGCAAAATGCTCCTTCATGGAATAAATAAAAGGTGACCTTAGTAATTTTAAATAATCAAATAGTTAATGAAAATGTATCAAAATGTGTGTTATAACAATGCTATTTAATTAATATTTATTTAAAGTTGCGCATTTTGATGTGACGTCACATTTCTCAAACCCCCCCTCGTCACACATCGTCACAAGTCTGACCTCCCCCCCCCACTCGATGCGTGACGTCATTTATGGACGGCCCCTTACCTTAGATCCCCTCCTACAGGGACCAAACACTCCAACTTACGTTGGAATCCCTCCTATACGGATCAAAGATGATCAAGGTATGGGAAGCTAACCTTAGCTTTAACAAGGGAGCCTTACCTTAGGATCCCCTCTATAGGGATCAAAGACCGACTTCCATGTACGATTTGCCGCCTCCATCAACTCCTCATCCCCATATTTCTCCCCTTTCCCCGATTAGGTAATAGGTGAAATAAATAATTGAACCTTATGGCGGGACCCCGGGGTCCCGAATAAACGGAAGTCAAAATCGTAATTATTTTATTTTTGGGGACTCCGTCCCACCGCGCACATAAACGCCGCCACCCACCAGAAATCAATCCTCTCGTTCTTCAAGCACCCGTCGTTGCCAAAATTGCCATAGTCACAAAGACAACTTTGACATTATGATAAGTGCATCGTGTAGAGCTCGTCGAGAGGAATACATTGCCGGATCGCTCGCCTTCAACAGACATACAATGACGTCGCAACGCAGTTTATGTGAGAGCCGGGGGCTTATGGGACCCCGGGGTCCCATAAGCCCCCGGCTCTTAGGGGCCGTCCATAAATGACGTCACGCACCTGGGGGGGGGGGGGGGGGTCAGACATTTGTGACGATGTGTGACGAGGGGGGGGGGGGGTTTGAGAAATGTGACGTCACATCAAAATGCACAACTTTAAATATAAACACGTTCTACTTAATTAAATAGACTTTTTAATAAATGTTTTCTCCTACAATATCAGAGTGCAGCGGCACATTAATTACGCACTACAATGACAATAGTTTAAAGCGATTTGAAGCATGTTGTATTTTTGGGGGTGGGGTGGGGCAGAGCTTTGTGACGTCATATTTGAGAGGGGGGGGCTGACTTTTTGTGACGCTGTGTGACAATGGGGGGGGGGGGGGGTCAAAAAAGTCCGAAATCGCGTGACGTCATTTATGGACGGCCCCTTATGTCAAATGTTTTAATGTCATGGATAATGATATGTTATGAACCCGCTCATTGTATTCATACCGTCTATTAGCAGACGATTGTGACAATGGACCTGCTTGCCCCCTTCAGTAACCTACTCGTGCACTCGCCAGCTCTGCGTCTTACATCGTTACACGGACACAATTCGTGAGTGAATGCAGTGTTTTGTGTTTGCGTCTTTTGTCCAGTTGTGCTCTTGGGAGTGTGCTGTGCTTTTGAATATTTCATTTTTTTTTTAAATGTTGCTTTGGGGAAGGAACAAAAATGCGTATCTCTTCCAGTTGAGCAATATGATGTATATATTCATTGCACGAAGGGTATAGTTGAACCAGCCATTGGTTCAAACACGCTGCAATGCGGTGTTGTGTTTTTCTAATTGCGTTTGGAGTGACATTAGGTTACGTGATTGTGTCCAGGCCAGTACGTGTGACGAGCGAAAGAGAGGCTATTGTGTGCGTTCATACGTATATAAAGTGTAGTTAGTGGAGCGAGTGTATATTAATAATGTACACAGCCGTATATATATGCGTGCCATTTTTTTATATACATATACTGTACATGTTTAGAATATCAATTTTATTATCCCAATGACATAACATTATATCGGAAAGATATAACGGAAACATTTATCAATGGATAATTTCCCACTGGAAAACACATACATGATAGCACACGTGAAAATATTAATATAATTAATGTGTGTGTATATGAAGGCCGAGAGGATGCGTCAAACCGGGGAGATGGAGCGATAACATACGCTAAGTGGAATGTTTCATCTCAGGATCGCGAGAGATGGCGATGGTTCGGGGGAGAGCCTTTATCCAGCAGCGGTCATGGCTGATGATGTACGAATTCCAAAGCATATGCACTAAAGAAATGCTGCATAGTCATTCGAAAAACATACATCTCAAAAGACTCGTGCATGTAGCAGTGCAATAATACATCCCCCGCGGCGTGTGGCATGCACATCCAGTACGTACATTTTAAATGGCTGCTTGTCCCTGCACGAAGGATACAAACGCACTGCACCAGTGGAACACACGAGGACGAACGTGCACTGCAGATGCGGCCATCAGCTCGCCTTTACACAAATCTGCAGCAAGGACGCCACACAACGCGGAGCGAAACGTCGGCAAACTCGACTCACCGTGGCAGCGGTCTTCTGCCATTCCCCCCGTGTCTCGCTGGATGGGAGCGCCTGTTTATGCGCGAATTGGATCGTCGGGTTCAAGCAAGACAAAAAAAATGCGCAAAGTCCAGCAGCCACGCCGCTCATCTCCTGCACGTGTCCCTTTTTTTTAACTCATCCGCGGACACATTGTCCCAACCACGCATACAAACCGTAGTATAACGCTGCTTATGGCTCGTAGACCACGGCTGCGAAGGCAGTGCTCGTGATGATGGTTAATAATTCTAACAGCTGATGCCTACGTCCTTTTAAGGAAAACCCAATCGCGCGTGAGGTGGGTGAGTCCATTCTGACATTTAAACGCCCCACTGCCTTGCATCGGGACCGGCTCTGTATGTGCATTGCGGCCCCGATTCTGATTGGATTCACATCATGATTGGATTCTAAATTAAAATAGCCAAGTCAAAGATTTTATACAATCTTAAACACGCAAGTGACGGGTTTTGTTGATAGAAATAAAGGGCAGTGTACATTATAGGAAAATAGGCGGATCGTATCGTTACGCATTCCACTCTTTGTAAAGAAGATCGCGCAAAAGGCTTGAATCTCCGCATAACCTATATGTGCTTTAATGTATACAATACACGTGACGTCCACTGTGTATATAAGAAACTGCGTGAAATCATTCAAATTTGGCCCACGGTGTTATTATTAATTCTGGGTTAGGATTCCAGATTGTGTCAGTTCCCACGCTGACAGAAAACGAGGAGCACAATGGTCTCGTCCGATGTGCGGTATTATTATTACCCCCCACCCCACCCCCATGTCTCCTCTCAATGCCATTAGCAAGTGGCGTATGGGGAGCCAACCGGAGAAAACCCATCAGGCATGCCAGGGGGTGACAGCAACTCTCATCTCCTTCGTCATCTCGGGGCCCCGCGCAGCCTACAACACTTGGCAAGCCCAGGCGGTCACCCGGTACAAGGACAAACCCAGGCTCAAACACGTTGAGCTTTCGAGATCTGAGAACTCCCATGCATGTACATGGTGGTCCAGATGTCTTGTGAGCCCCGTTTAATGATCTGAAACTGATTTCTTTTTAAAAGTAAGGTTTATTTAAAACATGAATGAATATGCAAAATAAAACAATTTTGGGGTCAATTAATTGGGCGTTACTGCATATGTACTACCATGTACAGTCCTGTGTTTTCTTTCTTCCAAGACGTCTGGCCATCGTGGAAGAGTAGGCCAAATACTGTACCTTCTCGCGGAGTTCTCGAGAGCCCTGCGTCCTGGAGGCTCTTCTGCCAGCAGTGGTGTGAACAAGAAATCTCAGTAAGCTATACTGTACACCAGTCACACTTGATATAGCTACAAACACTCTCGTGCATATATGACCAATATCGTTGAAATCTTTCGTAACCTGGTTAAAGCGGGGTTCAATTAGGGTACATTCCATAGAGTGGGTAAATCTTGCATGCCCAATGTTTTGTATTATATAACATACCACTTGCGGGGTGCAGCTCCATAGCGCACTGCGCCGTGAATCCGGCTACGTTCGATGATCGACCCCGGCTCACGTCAGTGGCGAGTGATATCTGAACCGGTCCTGGGCCCCCTTCCATCAACCCGCTTTTAGCAGGGTGGTGAGGTATGGCCAAACAACCCGTATGAACGACAGGGCGTGGGGAGGCCTTCATCCAGCAGTGGATTGACAAACATAAACAAGTAGGGACGATAACGATGCGTGGACGATGAATTGACCTCTATGATAATGCATAACGACAAACGCATGGAATATATTCGTTTGTAACAAGGTAACTCAACAACGTTCCTAAATAACGCTATGGTCTGATAAAATATATAATAGGCGACGTTTTGGATAAGGGCCCTTTACAGCACACACAGAGGCCAGAGACGTCGAGAATCTTCGTGTTATTGTGTATTTAACGTGGCTTCACGTGATCCCTTGCAGGCGCTAGAGGCCGCTACCATTCACCAAAACATAAACAAAAACATACTTGGACGCCCCGCAAGGGAATTGTGACAATGAATCCAAATGTAATCGTTACAACCCGTATCAACAACACATGCAGTGCATGGCACACGGGTGCCCTGTGTACTCAGTTTTGTGTGTGCACCTCTTAATGAGAGCAAACACAACCAACATTTATTTCATTCAAGGCGCCTTTCGTTCAACCATCATTATACAATGAACCATTATTGTATGATGTTGAACTTCTTTTGCACCGCACAATACACCGTTTAAAGAAGAACTCCATTATGCATCTCGGCGATGATTTTTAGTCTAGCAGCAGCATTGAGTCTGAAATAAATATATTTTTTATAATAATAGGGTTTTTCCCCTTTTTTCTGGCAACAAAACTGACACCTTTTTTACGAAGATTCATGTCTGCATTAACCACAAATTGAATTTTGACTGCAGGTATTGTGGTTAATGCAGACTTGAATCCTCGTCAAAAGGCTTCAGTTTTGTTGCCAGAAAAAAGGGGAAAAACCCTATCATTACATTTTGGTACTGGCAAAGGAGGCCTAATGAAATATTTTTATTTTACAATATTCTATAAATATTATTGTCATCACGCTACAGTATTGTTTTTCCAGACCAGCAAGCCAATACGCTAAACAAATATATTTTTTTATGTTTCGAGAGATTCGGTGCAGTTCAGCTCCATAATGAGAAGCCCATTAATGGTTAAAGCAAGTCGGACTGCTGATGAGACACTTGACTGTCGAAACTGGTCTCGAGTTTGACTTGTGTTGAACCAATGCTGCTGTGATTAGGGGCCGTACATAAATGACGTCACGCGATTTTGGACGATTTTTGACCCCCCCCCCCTTCGTCACACGGCGTCACAAAAAGTCAGACCCCCCCTCAAATATGACGTCACAAAGCTCTGCCCACCCCCCCTAAAAAAATAAAAAAAAATCGCTTTAAACTATTGTCATTGTAGTGCGTATTTAATGTGGCGCTGCACTCTGATGTTTTAGGAGAAAACATTAAAAAGTCTATTTAATTAAGTAGAACGTGTTGTCTATATTTATTTAAAGTTGCGCATTTTTATGTGACGTCACATTTCTCAACCCCCCCCCCACCTCGTCACACATCGTCACAAATGTCTGACCCCCCCCCCCCCCAGGTGCGTGACGTCATTTATAGACGGCCCCTTATCCACTCCCTTACAAGAAGGCCGTGTGGATGATGGAATGTATAGAAATACATCGTTTCATGTGGAGGGGCAGAGATGAGATTAATCGCCTGCAGGTTGAAGCACCTCCTTCCTCGATGGGACGAACCTTGCTTCCTCCCTCGACATCGCAAATCTTCCTGTAAAAAATATCTTGAAGCAGAAGATTAGTTCTGGATTGCAACTGCATTTGCAAATGTGATTTGTAACTCTGATCCTTACTTCTGTATCGATAATTCAATGTGAATGTGCCATTTTATTGAGCGACTATTGTGCGTTATGTTAGCTACCGTGTGTCGAATTTCTTTCGCACCGTATGTAGCCAGCCGTGCTAAGTCTGGGATTGTTTTGTTGTTGTTTATGGTGCCGTGCCCAAGGTTGATAAGTCTGACTTCTATAATTATTTAATTTAATTGCCGTTTTGTGACATTATTACACTTTTCTTTGATTTGCACTCCTATCGTGTGGCTGTACTGTTCGTTGTTGTAATGTTGCTGAGCCGCCCCAACTGGACATCTATGGGGGGGGGGGGGGGGGAGAAAACTTCACAAGTCATCGGATTCCTCCAGGATAAATAAAATATTCTCATTCTGCCCATCTGCAGTTTCATACCTGCATGTCTCCCCACGCACTTTACCCGTTTTATTGTGCAGGGAAATTGAGTTTTCAGGTCCATACGGCGTACAGCCGTTTCAATTCGGGCAACAAAAAATCAACATGATTGTGTGCATCCACATATCAAGCAAGCAGCAGCATGCAAGATCACAGACAGTAGCGTGATAAGTAGCATAATCGTCACCAATTATCAACATTAATACATAAAACAGTTTTTGTTTAGGAACATGTTTATCTGTTTGGTTTAACACGTAGGCTTTCGCGACCAATATCCATAATACAGGGGTTTTTTGGGTTCGACAGCGTAAATATGAATGTGGGGCCGTCCATAAATGACGTCACGCACCTGGGGAGGGGGGTCAGACATTTGTGACGATGTGTGATGAAGGGGGGGGGGGGTGTTTGAGAAATGTGACGTCACATCAAAATTCGCAACTGTAAATAAATATAGACAACACGTTCTACTTAATTAAATAGACTTTTTAATAAATGTTTTCTCCTACAACATCAGAGTGCAACGCCACATTAAATACGCACTACTACAATGACAATAGTTTAAAGCGATTTGAAGCATGTTTTTTTTTTTGGGGGGGGGCAGAGCTTTGTGACGTCATATTTGAGTGGGGGGGGGTCTGACTTTTTGTGACGTCGTGTGACCTGGGAGGGGGGTCAAAAATCGTCCAAAATCGCGTGACGTCATTTATGGACGGCCCCTGTGTCGTTAAACCCGCCACCACCCGACACAGCCAATTAGTAAGGTTTGTCACGTAAGCAGCCAGATTTGTCTGTCGCCTGATGAAGCTAGTTGTAATTACTGGCGAAACGTCGTAGTCGAGATTGTAAATGTTGTGGCTTGGCTCTCCAACACACCGGTGTGCTGAACTAGTGACGGATTAAATTTCGTTTTAAAGCTTTCGTGACTGCAGGGATTAATATTCTTGGTTCTTTCGGTAAAGTCACGTAGAAGGGAAACAATAAAATACAAAATATACAAATATACAATTCTCACTAAGCTTCGATTGCAACACAAGCAACCATCATCAGGTGTGAAAACCACAGCAAGATAATTTTTTAAAAAAATAACGAGTTGGCATGTTCTGCTTAAGTGACACCTTACTAATTGGCTGTGTCGGGTGGTGGCGGGTTTAACGACACATTTATATATTTACGCAACCCCCCCCCCCCCCCAAAAAAAGCCACTCTATGATGTTTGTCTATTTGTTTGTGTTTCTCCCTTGTGATGGGACTCTGTAAGGGTCACACGGGGTCACCTCCAGCAAGGCTGCTGCTGCTCTGTGACGCACGGTGGGCGGGGCCACCCACGGCTCCGCGGAGGGATACAGCGGGGCTAGGCCCCCCCCCCCCCCCCCGGGACGCGGCGGTGACGCGGCGTCGCCCCTGGCAACGGCAAAAGCCGCGTCCGCTGCCGGGGTTCACGCGGAACTTGACAGGAGACCAACAAACAAACAGACAGACGCGCGTCAACAAATGTCAACAAACAGACAGACGGCTTTGAAGCCGCGGCGGCCGCATTAGCGATGTCAATAAAAACAAAGCGCGGGGTTAAATGTTAATAAAATATGAACGCGGGTCGAGATGGAGAGAGCCATCACTCAGGCGGCGACCTCTGACCCCGAGGTGAACAAGAAGATGACGAAGAAGGCGGCGGCGGCGGTGATGAGGAGGAGGAGGAAAGGGGCGGCGAGGGACGAGGTGAAGGTGAGAGACGAAGTGAGGGACGAGGTGAAGGTGAGGGACGAGGTAGAAGTGGAGTTGAGAGAGGAGGTGGTGGAGGAGGAGGAGGAGGCGGTGAAGGTGGCGGAGGGGATGCAGATAAAGCAGCTGAGGACGGTGATGAATGACGAGGTGAAGAAGCTGAAGGAGGTGAAGAAGATGAAGGAGAACGCGAGGAGGAGGAGGAGAGACGCGGGTGAGTCCCTCGGGGTCTGTGGTGAGGGCCGAGTCGCTGGCAGTGGTGAGATGCCTGCCGTCCCTATCATAAACACCATCATCACCATCATCATCACCACCATCACTACCATCACCACCATCACTACCATCACCACCATCATCACTACCATCATCACCATCATCATCATCACCACCATCATCACCATCACCACCATCACTACCATCACCACCATCATCACTACCATCATCACCACCATCATCACCACCATCATCATCACCACCATCACCACCATCATCACCATCATCACCACCGTCACTACCATCATCACCATCATCACCACCGTCACTACCATCACCACCATCATCATCACTACCATCATCACTACCACCATTATCACTACCATCATCACCACCATCATCATCACCACCATCACCACCATCATCACCATCATCACCACCGTCACTACCATCACCACCATCATCATCACTACCATCACCATCATCACTACCATCACCACTACCATCACCATCATCACCACCACCATCACCACTACCATCACCACCATCATCACTACCATCATCACTACCATCACCATCATCACCACCATCATCATCACTACCATCACCACGACCATCACCATCATCACCACCACCATCACTATCACCATCACTACCATCACCACCATCATCACTACCATCATCATCACTACCATCATCACCATCATCATGTCGAGGTAACGCGACTTGTCATGACCGCTGTCTTATCAACATTATGACTACAATTATAAGTTCGGGTGGAACGGTGGCGCAGTGGTTAGCGCAATATGTACCCGGCCACCTGAGTTCGATACCCGTCCACGGCCTTCACGTCAGTGGCGAGCGATGTGTGGACCCCTTCCCTGGCTGCGCTGTTCACCAACCCGCCGGCAGTGTTGCGTGCCTTAGAGCGTTAAATTGTCCAGCAGGGGATTGTTGACAAAACGGCTGTAAGTAATGATTATTATCACCGTTTTATAGTCCGGCATGCTCAGGGTTTTCGGTAATTCCAAGTAAGCAGTCATCAATTAACCTGACTTGGCAGTGTCACCTGTGGCACAGAGTTTGCAGAGTTGTCGGCTTTGTGCCAGCAGAGATTTGGTTTTCGCGTGTAACTCTACCGGTGTAGCAAGAGAGGAGGACTGTGGTGCTGGTGGTGGTGGTATAGTGGTCTTTTACTACTCAAGCAGGCAGATAGGTACATGTATATGTTTTTGAGAATAATTTGTCATCTATAGATGGAAGATTTATACCCAAAGGAAGCGTTTCACATCGAGTTGAGATATTCGGAAATTTAATTCACGAACCCATGCAGTTTTTCACCGAAACCGCAATTTTAAAGTCCCCCTTTTACACAGCGTCCACCGTGGAATTATTACGCAAATTACGTTGCCTACTCTGAAGTGGACAAACAGAACCTGCAATACTCTTTGGTTCTTTCAGTAAAGTCACGTAGATAGAAAAAAGAATACATCGCAACAACAAGCAATCGTCAATAGATGAGACGACTCTAGCAAGAAAACTGCTTAAGTAGGCCAGATTGCTTGTGTTGCGATCGAAACGTTGTGATCTATTATTTTATTTTCTACCTACGTGATGACTTTACCGAAAGAACCAAAGAGTATGGATTCCTGCAGTCACGAAAGCTTCAAATCAAGATAGAACCTGCCATTTAAGTAATTCGTTGTTATTTTAGCACGTGGGCTTTCGCGACCAATATTATCCACAATCAAGGTTTTCTTGGGTCAGTGCCAATGCTTGTAGACCTAATCTCAGGTCTGAGAAACCGCCTGCAACTTATTCGAAAGCAAAAATAACATGACCGTATTTAAACTCTGTTTACACTGATCTGTCTCCACGTGCTTAAGCAAGAACACAGTCTCGTGTATTTGCCAACGTATTCCATAGAAGTTCCATTGAATACATCTCTCGTGGATTGCATTAAGTAAGCCGTTTTAACAAACGATATTAAAGTCAAATTATTTATAATGTACTGTACTGCAGTAAAATGGGGAAAGTGTTTTGGTGTGTCCATTGACTCCGGTGGAAAAAAAAAAACCCATTGTGTGAGTTGGTGTGCCAACCGGAGCCACACATTTTGTTGTGTTGGTCAAAGTTGCCTTGGCACAAGGGTTATTGTCGGGTCACACGTATGGCAACGTACACACGCACACACGCCCTGCACTGCAGACAGATTTCGTTTGGCACGCCACGCCTCTGTGACTTTCGCCAAACTGAATGCGAGCCGCTATAGCTTCGTGTCGATGAAAAGAGTCCAAACTTCCTTGTTTTATCAGCAGAGCGGCTGACCTTCGTGAGCTTCACTGTCACTTGTATTGGGCTTTCGGTAAAGTCACGAAGGTAGAAATAAAATAAAACAAATCACGACGTTTCGATCGCAACACAAGCAACAACCACAGCAAGAAAATGCTGAAGTAGGCGAGAGAGCTGCCGTGGCAAGAGGTTATATAGGTGAGAAAAGGGGGAGGGGCAAGGGGGGAGAGAGAGGGGGGGGTAGGGGAAGGGGGGCGTGAGCGCTAGGGGAAGAGGACGTGAGGCTGGGGGGGGGGGGAGTGGGCGGGGCTATAAGTGGGAAGCTGAGTGTGGGACACGGGGGGGAGGGGGGAAATAAAAATGTACTCGGAAAAATAAATAAGAATGTACTCGGTATTTTTATTTATTTGTGTTTCGATCGAAACGTCGTGATTTGTTTTATTTTATTTCTACCTACGTGACTTTACCGAGAGAACCAAAGAGTATGGATTCCTGCAGTCACGAAAGCTTCAAATCAAGATTATATTGGGCTGCTTATTTAATTAAAGAGCTGGTTTAGCCTGCTTACCGTTTAATAATGGTTGAACTCCCCAGTGATTCATAAGCCAGTTTGATGTTTATTTGTGCAGAAACGTGTTAGGGGCTCTGGATAAATGTATACTCGCGAACATTAAATGAGTTAAGACGGCTGACATCACTGGTCCTGTGGACCCCCCTTCACCAAGCTGCACCGCGTGGTGAAGTATGGTCACATAAACCCCCAAGACCGACAGCGTGGGCAGGCCTTATCCCTCAGTGGATTGACAAAGCACTGTTAAAACACATTTTTTAAAATTATATTTTAAAACTAATTTTAGTACAATAATTTTAGGTCATTTAAAAAAATATGGCTTGGGTTCACCCTAATCCTGGCCAAGGCCCAAATACCTTTACTGTAAGCTGCCTTAAGTTATTAAAAGTTGCCTTGGCAGTGGACGCAGTAGAAATATTGGGAATGCTTTCAGCACGCGCTTGCCAACTCCCTCCACACACCACCTCGGCCTTCTCCTTGAGCAGTGGCCCATCTCTGCGCCTTGTGGTTCCTCTTAGGTGGCCCAGCTCCCACGACTGTAGTCGTTCCAACTCGCATACACATGTCCTGGTAAACGTGGAAGAGATTTGGATGCGTGGATATGTCTACACATTTCTAATATAACATAAAATGTGTTTTTTTACCACTTTTACTCCGGTGCTGGATGCAGACTTCCCCACGCTATGTCAGTTAATGGCAGGTTGTTTGGCCATACTTCACACGAGTCAGTGTTGGTTGAGGGCCCAGTTTTGATATCATGTACTACTCGACTAAACTTTTTATATTACCAGGCAAGGCCCACTGAGCTATGTAGCTCTCTTTCAGAAGCGACCTGGCCACAAATGATAGCTTAATGAAGTGGCTTATCACGTGGACATTTAAACGCATAATGTTGATTCTAAATGCGGAGGGAAAAAATGGAGGACCTGGAGAAAAATGAATATGCAAACTCCAAATTAGGCTTCAGGGTCGAGATCGAACCCACGTACTCCTGTATACCAGGTGAGGTCGTTAACATCTCGCCACCTGGGCTACTGATGTCAGCCGTTGTCAGTAATCAAACTCAGGTTGCCGGGCTCGTGGCACAGCGCTCTAAATACTTCGCCACCACTCCCATCTACACATCTTAGCAGAATTAAACATGCTGGAGCCAACAGGGGACATTTGGGTTTTAGTGCAGCTTGCTCATTTGGCAGTCGGCACTCTCGCTGAATGATCACAGACATGCCAGGTGACGCCTGCCAACACGGTGTGCGGGGGACGGCGTGCGACCGTTTTAAATTCACGGTCGTGCCACACTTGCGGCGAGTGGGTCATTGTGTGGCCACAATAGCCCTGCTGCCCCTGTGAAAGAGCAAATTGGAGAAAAATGCACAAGGGCCGGCGGTGAAGTGACAGCCCATTAAATATTGAGAGACTGGAAAGTGCCCCGAGCAGCACTGCTGTTGTTAGTTGTACGGGGCCCTGAGCTGCGGATCACCACAATAACTTTGACACCCAGCAGATAATTGAATGTACCCTACCTGTATATACAGTATTGTGCAGGGCAATGTTGGAAACTTTGATCATGTTTATATGCTCAAGTTGTTCAACAAATGGTACATCTGTATGCGGTATATACCAAACATGTTCCTGTTGGGGAAAAAGAGGAGCACGTTGATTGGAGAACATAAGCAGGTTAACCACATCATCCAAACTATGAATAAAAGTAAGCAGGCTAGGGCAGGACGTGTTGCGGCTAGAGGGGAGGATGAACGATTGTCCAGAATAATAACGGAGTGGCAACCGAGGTATGAAACGCGTCCATTTGAACGTATACCAATAAGATGAAGCGGTGAGACCAGTTTATCTGCAGATGCATCTCAGTATCCTGATAGGTGGTGGCAGCTTGGGAAGGCCTTCATCCAGCAGTGGATTAATCTTGACTGATGGCAATGATGATGAAGAAGCCAAATGATGCTCAATATCGCGCCTGTTGTTGAAATAGATGGGATGCTCCACTGCGCAGCTGTCTTTGCGTCAGGACTGTCAGTGCTGGGTATGGCCGTAACAAACACGAACATTTTCCGCGTAGCTGGTAACAAGCCCGGAGTAGGCACGTGACAAGTAGCCACAGCCAAACTACGAAGTAAACTGGATGTGGTGTTCCGGATGCAGAGATATATTCTGGGTCGCTGACACACCACAGATCCAGCTGAAATGAAACCCTCATGTATACCTTATAAATATAACCACAGCTGTCGGATATTTTTATTCAGGCAATCGTTAGTGACAAAGAGTAGCACATCTAATTAATTATCTGTACTGGAAAACGTTTGCATGCTTTACATGATAAGGTCGCACTCATTACGCACAAAGTGCTTGTCACAAATGAACCACAATACTTTGGCGATCTCGTCAAGGAGTAATAAACCATCACGCGAACTCCTGTCATCCCCGCAGTAGCGGCCTTTGGCTAACCATTGAACAAAGACGGTCATCGCATCGCACGCTTTCAGATGCGCTTCTGTGGCCGTCTGCAACGCCGAAGCCACTGGAGCTATGCACTTTTAAATAAGCTAGATTGAAAACTCATTTACTTTGAACTTATTTTTTTGTATTTAGTTTGTTGTCCTTCCCCTGCACCTCTGATTATCACTGTTGGCTACGTATGGTGCGAAAGAAGTTAAACATGTATTCATACCTCCGATTAGTACGGTTAGCTACGTACGGTGCGAACGAAGTTCAGCATAAATACTGTACATGCAGAAGGTGGCCGATTCGTGTTTTACGCCTGACCACTCGGCAGTAACAACCTGAAGTCTGTACAGGTCACAAACACGACAACGGCACCACTCCGAGCCCTGGCAACGGCCCCTTGCTCCGCTGAACCGCAACCGCCTCTTTATAACTTCCTCTTCGCCAGGCTTGCAACCACATCATACGACTGCATGCAGCGACAGCTGTGAGGCGAGGCCTTTCTCTTCTATTTTTACCAGGTGGCTATGGTCTGGTGTTGGTTTAACGCCAGTCGGTCCACCTGGTCTGCACCTGTAGAGTGCGCAGAATATGGATTTGTTTGCAGTACGTGGAGACACTCGCGCGCGCGCGCACACCTATAGTTACTTATGCGCGTGTACGTACAGCAAAACTCAATTTGGGTTAATTTAGCACAGGGGGCGACGACGACCTGCAGCTCCAGGGCCGCGTGCGCCTCGTTAAGGAACTGCTTCGTGACGTTATTTATTAAGGACCACCGTCTCGTATTCACGTGAAATATTTTTGTTGGCCAAATTGGAAAAAAATGGCTGCTCTTGTTATTTTGGTTGCCAACCCCTGATTTAGCGTAACATTTCATGTGTATCTCGGTTGTCAAAATACTGTATATCAAACGATTGGAGAAAAAACTATTTGTTGAAATAAATTGGTAGGTGGAGTGGTGGCACGGAGGTTAGCACACTTCGCACTGCACCCTGCGACCAGAGTTCAACTTACAGCCATGGCTAACATCAGCCACAACTGCATGTGTGCACCGATCCTGGCACTTCCGTCACCAACCTACACGGACCAGCGTGGTGAAGTATGGTCAGACAACTACCATGACCGGCACAGACATTGGGAGGCTTTCATGCAGCAGTGGCTAAAGGGGTCTGAAAAAACGCGCGACATGAAACCGCCAACCCCAGTCAACAATATTAATTTCGAAAATGGAGAAAATATGTTTTGGGTGATTATTACTCTGTCTGTTTTAGTTTGGAATATAGGCTACAATACATTTGAATTCTAGGACAATTTACAACCTTTTTTCAACGCACTGCTGGATGAATACCTTCCAAAGGCATGTCAGTGTGGATTTGGCGAATGGTAGACCATGCCCTGTTCAACTATCACCACTGGTGTTAACCGTGGCAGGGAGTCAAACTCAGGACACCGGGTCAATTGCACAGTGCCCTGAACAGTACATAAACCAAACTGCTCGGATGTCTGTGTCAGCCTTGTTCAAATATATAAAACAGCCACGCTGAGTTTCAACATGAATGAAAGGAGCAGTGTGTATGTACAAACACTCTACACGTATTCTTAAATTCCACCATGCCACAAGGGTCTGGGAAAATCACTCGAGAAAGCGTCGCTGTGTGTGCACTCGTCCCGCGATGTCCAGCGGCCACGGGACAGAGAGCACGCACACTCACACGCACACTCGCTCGCCCCAGCGCCGGCCTCTCGGCTCGCACTCCACGCGCGCGTCTCTCGCGAGCGCTCGGTCGGGAAAGAGGGCCGGTGTAAGGGCCGGGATATCGGCCCCTCGAGGGGCCACTCTTGCCATAACGCGGGGGCCGTGCTCACGAGCCAGCGCCGAGGGCTTGTTCGGAGGTTCTCGTGGCGCCAATGGGCCCCGTCGGCTCGCCGGCGTGTAAATTACATGGCAAAGGGCCCCGGCCGTGCAAAAGAAAACAAAACGAAAGGCCACTCCTCCTGGGGCTACGAGGTGGACACGTACTCGCAGCCGCACTTCATTGATCAAAGCTCAAAATTAAACTACTTTTAAATGTGTATTTGGTTAATAAGAGTTGTATGGTGGGGGTGGTGGGGGAAGGGTCTTATTTGTGTTTGCCCAGTGTTGCGTTTTGGAGTTTGTTTGAGCGTCTCGTTGGAGGAAAGTGGAGTTTCTGAAGAAAACCACAAGGTGTATACAAGGGAAACGCACTCACATTTTCTAGATTGATCGGCCAGCTGACCAATACTTTCATTGCATGATGATGATCCAGGTTTTTTGGTTAGATCGCATAAATATATAAATGTGTATTATGGATGATATTGGTCGCGATAGCCTACGTGATGACGATGATGTAATGACTGTGTCCAACTTTATTTGTGGAAATCTTTTAAAACATTATTAAAACAATATGGGCTCCTTGCCCATCACATAGGAATGTAACCCCCCCCACGCCCTTCTCACTGTTACAGCCTTTCTATAGGCCCTCTGCCTTCACCAACCTGCACTGACCAGCGTGGCGAAGTATGGTCAAACAAACCCCACGTCCAACACGGCCTAGGGACACGGCCATCCAACTGTGGATCAACCAAGCAGCTGTATTCTTAGTTCTTTCGGTAAAGTCACGTTGAAGGGAAACAATAAAATAATAAAATATATATAAAACAATAAAAATTCTCACGACGTTTTGACCATAACACAAACGGTCGTCATCAGGTGTGTCGGTTTGCATACATTTATTTATTTTTAAACGGTGTATTTATTACACCGAGAAGATGGATTCTGGCTTAGCAATCATTGGAAAGATTTGATAAACCATTTCAGGTCTTAATTGATTGTTCACGCTTACAGTGGCTTTCAGACAGCATACATTAATTTTTCGTCTCCCCCCTCCTCTTTTCAGAACATAGATGGACTCGTCCTTCTAAACAAACTGCCAAATCGCTGCGCGTGGCGCTGACGTTTTTTTTTTATAAATACACCGTTTAAAAATAAATAAATGTATGCAAACCGACACACCTGATGACGACCGTTTGTATTATGGTCGAAACGTCGTGAGAATTTTTTATTGTTTTATATATATTTTATTATTTTATTGTTTCCCTTCAACGTGACTTTACAGAAAGAACTAAGAATATGAATTACTGCAGTCACGAAAGTTTTAAATCAAAATTCAAGCAGCTGTAATTTATGTTCTGTTCTTGCATATGGGAATATGTTCAGGAGCCTCGATGCCAATGTCAAGGTCTGCTGCTGGCCGGTCACAACGAGAGGGTTTCGGGAGAGAGAGAGAGTTGGGGTAGTTTCGCTGCTCCTCCTCTGTTGGAGCACGGGCCACAGTGGTTTACTACACGGTCCATAGTTTGGATTGCATAGCCACAATTGTACTGCAGTGGCTTGACTTTGATGTATCTCTCTGGCTCTCTCTGTACCTCTACGAGTCTCTGTCTTTCTATATGTTCTCGATGGGTCTCTATGTATCTCAATGGGTATTTGTATATCTGTTTTTTTATGGGTTTGCTGTATGGTTCATAGTTTGGGTTGCATGGCCACAATGGCACTGTAAAGTATTATTATTATTGACACAACCTCCTCGATCACATTGCAATTACAACAAAAATATCTAATGTGCCTTACGACTTTTGAAACGTAGAATTTTTTGCCGTTATTATTTTTACCATTGCTGGTTATCTCGCCTCCTCAAGGGAAACTGCATAGCGGCAGCGGAAGCAGCGAGCAGGAGCGCGGCCCAGCGCCGGCCGCCGCCACCGCGGTGGCGCCGCCGGCCACCAGCGATGCGAGCCTGCGCTGGGAGGGCACGCTGCCCGACCCGGCCGCCGAGGAGGAGCGCATGCGGCTCTACCGGCTGCGGCGGCGTGAGCGCTACCTGACGGCGCGCCGGGACCTGTGCCGCCGCCTCGACCTGCCGCCGGCGCTCGCCGAGCTCGACCGCGACTCGCCGCCCGCGCCGCGCCGCGCGCCGAACGGCCCCTACGTCCTCACCGCGGATGAGTACTCTGGCCTGCTGCTCCTGCGGCGGAGGAGTCGGCAGGGCGAGGCGGCGGGCGCCGCGTCGGCGCCGCGGCAACGCCGCCAGGTGGAGCAGCTCGCCGTGCGCTTCGCAGAGTTGCCGCCCGTCGGTGCGGAGGTCGGCCCCGCGGCCGTGTGAGGCCGGAGGGACCGCAACGGTCCCTCGTCAGAACCGTTGTTCGGGGGCCTGTTAGCTGGGCACGGGGGTAGTGGTGCATGCCTATGAGATGAGATTTGGAGGTTGTGGTTTATAAGTTGTGCCGGGATCTTATTCAAAAAAGGCCCACCTGCTGGGCAGGGGGTTGTGTAGCAAGTAGGTGGCTTGCCCGTCTGTGGATTTTTTTTTTATTTTCCGCCCGTATGAGTGGGTTTTCTCTCACTCGCAAAATTACTCAAATGGGATTTGCCCAAATCATCCGTAGCGAGAACCTCCTTAAGAGAACCGAACCTCATTGAGGCTTTAACTGGGCAAGTGCATTTAACTGATCGTAGTTTTGGCCACAGCCCCATTGTTACTTTTAACGCTGACCCAGTTTAGCAAGCTGCTTGCCAAGCATGGCAGATTATTTTCCTTCATGGATGTGAAGACGTGTTCCACCTCGTCGGTTGGATCTGCGATGGACTGATTCGTATGATGTTCCAAAAAGTCGTTTCCCCATTCTCCTTTGGAATGTCACACCTAACGCTTCGGCTGTGCAAAGTGCACTGAATATTGTCGATGCATTGTTTACGGCACAACGTCCCAAACTCCGATCCTCACAACCCACTCAAGTCCGGATTTCCATGTTTTCCAAATTTTCACCATTCAAGTAGAAATTAGGTTGTTGCATACTGCACACACCAGATGATTTCTAACTGGCACAAATCTAAGTCATTGTTAATTTGAATCGGCGCTAAGTTGCATGTGACGCACACACTCACACGCAAGATGTCTATCTTAATTTGAAATTGCACTCAACGTTATCAACCAATCATTGAGTGTGCGCAGCGTGTAACAAATAATTAATGTGCACGGTAGCTTGGTAAACGCTAAAAGGTTAACTGTGGCCGGTTTCAAAGACTGGAGTTTAGGGAACCCTGTCACAAAGATTCACCAACCAAGATGAATAATACAAAACGTGGTTTATAGACACCAAAAGTTGCCATTGTGACCGTAAGATTGGTCGTCCTTCCAGCAGCATGTATAATGCACACCAGCCTTGCTAACAATCATTTAAAATATTATTATTACCAAGATTTAAGATTGTGGCCATATTATTGTACCCCTACCCCCTCCGATTGGAAGTTGTTGGCCACGTGCCACTATCCACCGACTGTGTTCCGTTTGCCATAAACTGAACGGTTTGTGGCAACGCATAGAGTCGCACTCTGTGTTCGTCGGTATTCATATTGAACGTACATTTGTATTGCTATGAACATCTCACGGTGTGATTATTTTTAGGTCCTTTGCAAATATTGGAGGCAAATCTGCTCATGAAATTGGATAACAATGAAAGCCCCCCCCCGCACACCCCTTTGCCTGCTGTAACCTTTATACTTTTATTGCATCATGCAAATAGATTAGATCAGATTTCAGAAGAAACCCTCTCCAATATACGAGGCGCCCAAAGGCATATGGCTGCAGCGGACGTTGATGACTCTGCTGTACTGATGAGTCCTAATAAGGACGGAAACCTGTTTACAGTTGTGTCTGTCTCACCGCAGGTTAGCCGCGTTTTCCCAACTCCTTGAGTTGGTGGTCTAAAAATTGCAAGAGAGACTCACGCACGTATGCACTTCTTTTGATCCGGTGGTCTGCATAAGGCTGAGAGCAATGCACGTGTGTGTGTTGTTTAAATCTGAAGTTAATTAGTTTATTGCATGTAAACGTTTGGGATGTGGTCACCCCTTTGTTATTCCACAATCAATTGATGTCGATGCACATGCCAACATTTTCGCACAATATAACAACTCCTAATCATTTTTGGAGACTGCTGAATCTCTGATTGCGAATAAGGTTCGGCGCCGAGAGGATCCATTTGTAGCTGGTGCATTCTGATGGACGCAAATTAATTGTCATACAGTTGTGACAGCTGGGTAGAAACAGTCACGTGTGTAGGTCGGCTTGCAAACAGGCGCCCTGTGTGCGTGGGGAGCTGAGGTGTGGGGAGCTGGGGAGGTCTTTTATTTAAGCCACAAATCGACAAGATCCACCGGTGTCTCCTCTCTTCCTGTTTGCCTCTGCCTCTCAATTCGCTCGTCCTACCCCACCGCCAAAACGTATAATGTTGTTGTCACTCAGGAATGACATGTTTCATGTATTCCACATTTCTATTACACGTCTACGCTTGTGATCGTTTACGGCGTGCATCATTGGTTGCTCATGATCCAAAAACGTCGGTTTACAGAGCGTATTGCCAATCAGCAAGGCTTTATTGCCGTTCATATGCGTCACGGCTTTTTAAGGCCCCGACTCGCCCGCTATAAAAGGCGAAGAACGTCATGTATATATTTTTTATAGTCCTAAAGATGTATCCCCACTCTGAAACATGTGCGGATCGGTGCTCAACACCTCTTATCAGTGGTCCTCAGCCAGTGGTGGAAATTCCATTCTCGTGGTGGGGGAGGGGGGATCTTACAATCCCTAACACAACAACCTCTTTTGAACGTTAGGCGCTGCTTATTTTACAAAACACAGAAGATGATGATGATGTTGGTGGTGGTGGTGATGATTGATGATGTCAATCCCGACAGAATTTGAGCTCATGGTCATACGATTGGGAGCCCTGCAGCCTGACCCACTGAGCTATATAATGAATTATATATACACACACACCAGCGTGCGCTGAGCGTTTTGAGAATTTTTAGAATGAGTTCCTAAATTAGTGTCCCGATGACCTCATTTTAGACCTATATTGGAACCGCACATCAGTGGGATGATCTTAGAATAGCTGCATTGCTGTCATAGGCGACGTCAATGTAATCCTGTCTCGAGTCTCCAACCGTTCGGCTGCGCTACACCGCAGTACGTGTCCGCCGTGCTTCTTGGGAACGCAGTGACGTGACCTCGCTTTCGTTGTACGTTGTACAGCCGGATGATCACAATCTGACTTTTAATTGTTGAGTGATTTTTTTTGGGAAGGGGGGGGTGGCGGTGGGGGGGGGGTTGCCGTTGGTGTGAATGTCGGTCACGTTTGCGATTGCCCTCTGATTCAAGCAAGTAGTAGAGCTTCACTCGATTGTTGGTGAGCAGGCGGTTATTGTTGTGCATTGTGGGATAGGGTTGGTGCTGTGTGGGGTAGCGCGGAGGGAATATTGCCAAAACACTTTTTTTTAAGTCCAATTTCAAAACCACGTTTTATTCTAATTGCTTGCCATTAATCAGGTCTTGTGCTAAACTTGTGACAAAGTGCTGAGTAGGCGAGGCAGAGCTGCTGGTGGGGAGAGGTGGGAAGTGCGTGGTTACGCTGCACCATTGCCGTGCCCATTTTGTGAAGCCACTGCTGGATGAGGGCCTCCCCATGCCACGTAAGCCATTGGGTGGATGTTTGACCGTACTTCACCGTGCGGCTCGGTGGGCACACAAACGAAGGGGCATGGATGGAGTGCAAAATTACCGTTCCCTCCCACGAACCCCAACATCATTACTGATTGGTGCCAGCAGCTTTTCAGGGTCGCAATATTTGAACTACAGCGCCTTCCCTGCATACTAACATTATTATTATTACTATGCTTATTTACCCACGAAAGCCTGAGGCTCAATAGTTTTTTTTCAAGGAGGGTCTTGCCAAGTTTTTTTCGCAGTAGGGCGCTGTGTTTACACAAAAAGGGCTACACCCCTCGAGCTCAAAAAGATTCAGCGTGGCATCAAAGATACATTCTATTTAACCAGTCTGGCGCCACTTTTTATTTAAATGCTTACACGCCGGTGTCGCTCATGGTGCTCTGCTCGGGTAGGAGCTACACAGACCCCCTGCGTGACCCCTGCGGAGTGTGCCGCACCACACAGCGCTCGTGCTGCACCGTCGTCGTCGTGTTTCTGTGCGTTCAATGTTTACTTGACGGGTGGCCTTCCAGAGTTTCCCGTGGCGCCATGCTTGTAGGCCACGAGCTCGCAGCAGATATATTCCGCTCAGTCGGCACCACCCCAGGTGGCATAACCTCAGCGGGGTTCCAAATTTCTGCGTGGCCAATAACAGTAAATTGTGGGGTTCGGATAATTCACTGGCGTTAGCTGCATGAATACATCGGTGCAGTAATGCCCCGGTTTACGTCCGGGGATGAGTTCCTGAAAGATGCGGCGACGAATGTCGAAGCGATTTAACCGGGCAGTAGCAGGCGGTGCAGGCGAAGGTCTGAGAAGCGCGACGGGGTACGAGAGAGGACGGACGATGCTGTCAGGGACATGAGTGCTGTGGGTTGAGGTGACGCAAATCGGGTAGCGGTGTTAATAAAGTGACCGCGTAATTTGCGAAACGACAGTTAAAGGGGGAGACGTCAATCGGGGTATTACTGTACGAGAGATTTGCTACCTGAGGTGGTACCAATTTCTGCTGTGGCTCAACCCTGGTACAGGCAGAGCACGGGTGGAGGTAAAGCGAAATACCTGTGGTGTTACCGCCTGCCCTGTCAACCATGCTGCATTAAAATAATTACATTTACGGTCCTTAATTCACTGCTAGCTGAAGACCTCCCAATATCTTGTTGGTTGTGGTGGTTGTTTGAACATACCTGGGTGCTGCGGTGCAGCACCCAGGTATGTATATGCCTCGCCTGGTATGCAGGAGGTTGGGGGTTTGAATCCCGACCCTGATGCCTGCTGTATATTTGGAGTTGTCATGTTCTCCCCGTGGTCGTGTGGATTTTTCTCGTGGTCCTCCGGTTTTTTCCCTTTTTAGAATCAACATCACGCATTTAGAGTATTTGGCTGCTATAAATGTCCACACGATAAGACAATTAGTTGAGCTACCTAGCTCAGTGGGCTTCACCTGGTAAAATCAAAATAAAAAGTTTATATATCACCACATTGGTCGGTTTGGGTTGGCTAAGATGGGTCGGAGGGCTGTTTCAGATATCACTAAACAAAAGATTTTAGCCGTGGCCTGGAATCGAATTCATGTCACCAAGTTCATGGCATGGTGTGGTCACCAATGTATTACCCGTGCGTTCTGGTACACCGCACAAATATACCCGAGTTCGACATGAGGCATGGGTAATGGCAGTGCCCGGTTGATATCTAAACCAGCCCTGAGGCACCTTCCTTTATCAAACTCGTACTGGCTAAGCGTGGTCAAACAACCCCCTCGACCGACACAGTGTGGGTATGCTCAGCGGTGGATCGACATTAGGGCTGTGTATTGTTATTTTATTTCCCCCGATGCTGGGTGATGTAAAGCGGTAACGATGGGGAGGTGTAAAAACAACGTTCGTGCTGGAAGCCACGCAGCCACGGGCAGCCGCGGAGCAAACTCCCCCCGGCGTTGCGCAGTGTCCGGCGGGGAGGGGGGTTGGCGGTGCAGAGGATGGGATGGCGACGAAATGGGCGGCGCCGTTAACAGAATGGGGGGGGGGGTGGAAGAACAAGGACGAGACGCGTCGTGAAGCTTTGTCGACTCGGCAAGATGCCCCCACGCCCCCCCCCCACTCCCCTTCACCAGAGAGCGAGCGGGGAGGACGGCCGACGCCACCGACTCTCGTCGCGCCGTTACCGACCTGCGACAAATCAAAATGTGTGCTCCGTTGTGGCGAGAGCGCGCACAGTGAACGCGAATAAACCGGAGTCCTGGGTGTCTCTTCCTATTGCTTTTTGCAGCATGCATATTTTGTTGCGAGTGCCCCGTACACATCACTCGACATTCCTGCACAGTAACACCTCGATATGCCTATACTCGATAAATGAAGTTTCGGTAAAACGAACTTGGGAATTTTTACCATTATTTTAAGCTAAAAATAAAATAATGAATGAATATACTGGCGTAAATAAATACATTGATTTATGATACAGTACGCTATAAATACGAATATAATTACGTTTCTTCACTTATGTTGTTAATTAGGTCAGTTTTATTATTTTAACACTGTACAATATAAAAATATATTATTTTCAACATAAATTGTCTTTGTTTAATATGTGAATAGGAAGTTACGAAGTGTTTACAGCGTGACATGGTAAGTTACAAAGGCTGGGATCTCGTCGTACTAATGTAATACGTTTTTTGGTATACCAAGTTTCGATATACAAGCGGAGCTCCAGGAACGCATCTCCTTCGTATATCGAGTTATTGCTGCATTGACCCTTTCCCGTTCCGAGCCATCTGCAAGTTTGCAGGGTGCCTGACCCGGTTCACCGCTGAATCTCGGAACGCACAAGCTGTTCAGCGTTAATTTTATTTAGAGAGGTGTAGCACCGTTGTTTTTAAAGACATTGTTCTCACCGCAGAGAAACGTAGCGACACAACCGCACTCTACGTTAGCTGGTGCCAAACTGCCATACGCCCTCCCCGCATGGCCTTTTACTTCCGATTCCGTTCCAATGACGTATATGTACATGCACATACGTCATCAGTTTTTTTCCGAATGGGAAAGAGTTAACCCAAGTCACAGCAGTGACTCTTCCTCTAACCCTGCCATTAAATGATTCGTGTCGATAACTCCCCCAACACATGGAGAGCTTACCATTCCTTCTTCTAACAGCTGGTCGGTGCAGGTGTAGTGACATCGCGGGATGTCACTGTGCAGTGCCGGCCCGAGAGAGGCACGGCGTGCGGTGTAGCGACATCGCGGACACCACAGTGGTGTGGGTGCAGCACCGGCCCAAGAGGGGCCCGGTGAGCGCTGATTGAAAGCGCTAGATGGCACCACGCTTTGCGTGCAGTGCCAACCCTACAGGACTGGGTGTGTGAGTGCCGGCCGGAGGATGAGGTTACTGGAGGCCATGGCACTCTGGTTGACCCGGGAGGACACGTGACCAGTTAAGTCTACAAAGGGGGCCCAAGTGGGGGCTCGGGGGTGGTCACGTGGTTGGGACCCAGATCCTTCCCGAGGATTCTGGAAGGTGGTCGTGGCCAACGGCGGAGCCAGCCCCGCCGCAGAGAATAAAAGCCGGGTCCCCAGAGGGACCAGCGTTGTTGTTGTTCATCCTGAAGAAACCTTCGTCGACGTTCTACGAGTCTCCAACACGTGGACCTGGACCCGGGCTGTTGGTCCCAGTCCGTAGTAGCAGTTACGTTGTAACTAGTGTAGTTAGCGTGGTGGTCACCACCATAGGTTGTTATTCTGTGAAGGGAAAGTTACTCCGTGTGTTGGGGTTAAATAAATGTGTTGCCTACGTCTGCGACTCCGTTGAACCCATTACAGAGGTTTTGTAAACACTTCGAGGGGGAGAGGTGCTGGCTGTGGTTCAGGAGCGGTTCAGAGATCACGCGCCACCCAAGTTGGCCGTGGCAGAGAATCAAAACTCCAGTCAACAGCTTCACCGCGTAGCCAACAAACCGCTGTGCCGCGGCTCTCCTAAATATAGCCGCAACCCTTGAACGATGTGTGCCAATTTGCCCGTGACTATACGCCCATCGTCCAGTCACGGCTAACATCAGTGGCTCGCCGACGTCTAAACCGGCGCTGGCCTCTTCACCAACCCATAATGACAAGCACGGTGAAGTTTAATCAACCCCCCCAAGGTGATGGAGAGTGGGGAAGCCTTCATCCAGCAGCAGACTCCTGAATGAAACCGTGCTCATTGAGGCACCTAACATGTAACGTTGCATTCACGCCTGTGGGCACATTGCATCGTGTAGTGCATCGGGCTAGAAGCTGCACACGTACGCACACTTCGTGGAACAACATTGCATTTATTAAAATAATTAAACACCCGGTTCGTGTATCCATAAGGAAATTTAAATACACGTACGTAGCTAATACCAATATTTAATAAGTTAAAGCACTATGTATTTACCACCTTTCGTGTATATATATAAGCGGTAACAATAAAAAAAAAATCATTATTGCGAAGCTCATGCCACAAGTCAAAATGAAGATGCGTCAACAAGTGTCCGTGTGCCGGGGGTGGTGAGCAACAACGCGGCGGTGACCACCGTCGCTGCTTGGGCTCTCGCGCGTCCGTCACCGCGTGTCACGGCCATCTCGACGGCCCGATGCCGCACCTTTTAAACGGGGCAACGCCGCGAAATTATTAAATTAAACCGAATTGCACCTCCCGCAAGACACAAGCACACGCCAACGGTTCTATCCGTTATTGGTCCAGTATTATTACATTAGAGGTTCCTTCCGTATGACCAAATCACCCGGAATGCGGCTCGTCTCCTTGGCTCTTCGAAGCCGAGCCGAGCCTGGACAGTGCTGGGATGGGTGACCACTTTGCACAGGTTGTCCTATGGGTTACACGGTGGGCAGTGCGGCAAATTCCATTGTTGTCCTGTACTTCTATGCTCTCGCGTCTACGCTCCCCGCCTTCACGAACCCACGTTGAACAGCGTGGTGTAGCATGGTCAAATAACCCCCCCCCCACCCCCCCACAGGCCACACTGCGTATGGAGGCCCTCATCCAGCCGGGGATTGAAGTAGAGGTGAGAAGTTCGCTTCCGTAGCGACGCTCCCCAGCGACGCTCGTCTCTACGACGACGACGACGACTAAAGAGCTCAATCGTAGCCAACGGAGGATCGTCGTCTCGTCGGCGTGGTGATTTCAAGTCCCTGTGACCTCCCTGGCACCTCCCGCTTAGCTGGTCGCCACGTACGCCGCATCGCGACGGCGATCGGACGCTGTCGGAATCTGCGTCGTACTTGCAATCGTGTTTCGCACGTTCGGTTCGTACGTACGTGTATGTGTGTACGTTGAACTTCTTTTGTACCGTACGTAGCCAACCGTGCCAATCGGAGGTGCGGGGGAAGGACAACAAACTAAACACGAAAAGCAGTTCTAAAGAAATGAGTTTGTCATGATTTAAAAGTGCGTAGCTCCAGTTCCTTCCGAATATTGGAAGGAAGAGCATTCCAGACTGCCGCAGGAGCGCATCTGAAAGCCCCCCCCCCCCCCACCATGCGCCAACTGCACCTAGTGACGGTATTTTTATATTTATTTATATCACCCAGGTGTGCTTGCGAGAGAGACCTCGGACCGGACTCACGTTTCCCATCGAGACCGTCTGCAACAGGTGGTTGGCGCTCGTGCCAGTAGCGTTGGTTGTGAATGGATATTGGACTTCGACTTGCGTGTGTTTTTTTGGCGAACGTTAATTTGCGTCCGAATTATTTTTTTGCGCGTCCAAAATCCGTGCCGTGCTGATGCACAACCGGCCGTGGGGAATCATCGCCAAGGTGCTGTGTTGCGTTGTTTTGGCGATTCCCGTCGCGATGCGAATATGGCTCCTCAGCGAATGATTCGGGATCGTTTCCAGGCTTGATCCGCTGGGGGAATTAAAACCCCCGTGTGCAGGATCGCTTTGAGTTGTTTTAATTGTAAACTTGAGTCGCACACAGGCGCTAAAGTCACAGTGGTTCATACAAGATGAATGTGCATCATCATCACCACAGACAAAGTCGAATTATAAATGGAAGAAAAACCCCAGGTCAGTGAGGGGTTTATCTACAACTATATATCTTAATAACGTCTTATTAAGATTTTAAAGTTTTGCCGGGAACGGTGAGTGACAGACATGTTAGTGCCAATGCCACCCGTAAAAACTGTCTGAATCTCAGATCATTTGGTCACGTTTCTGCCTCTCCTCCTTCTGCTCCTCCTCCACCTCATTCATCCAAAAAATCTAAAACGCTAACCTCCCACCAACCAATCAACACCTCTCTCAACCACTACCCTAACACACCGCTCCGTTCATTATTCTTCACTCAAGATATCCGTCTTCCCAGTGGTAAAGCAACTTCCTTGGGCCTTGCCCGACATCTGAATCTCCGCGCTTCTGTCGTCACCGACCGCTTGCCCACAGCCAACCCAGCCGGATCGCTCTGGGATCCCATGATGCCTCGCGGGGGCGGGGGCCACGAATTATTTGAGATGAATATCATGGAAATATAAGATAAACAGTACAAAACAACGCGCACACGTTAAAGTTCCAGTTCAACGTTAACGTTGACACCTTAACGTCCCAGGTTAAGCTAATGATTCCGCCAGGTAACGAGCGAGCGAAACAAACGACACAAAAGCGCGGTTCCACTCGATGGCGGTGGGTTTTGGGCTCGCGTCGGGGGCACGGCAAATTTGAACTGCGACGTAAAACTCCGAGATGTCTCGTTAACAAAATAAATAAGTAAACCCAAGCCGTTAGATGTGTTTTGTGCGCAGAGCGCGTGCACAGCCGTCGGCCGTTTCTCCAACTCGGTCCGAGCCACACTCGAGCCTAAACTAGAGACGCAGTAACGGTCCGAATCCATGAGAATTCCGAACCGGAGGGTTTTCGGACACTGGAAATACATTTTCACCCAGAAGCGTGTTCCTTTGCACGAACGCTGCGGTTTCGTGTTGCTCTCAGCGTGTGTTTTGCATCGTAGAAGTCGTTTTTAGTTTCTACTAAATTTGACACTGGATTTGACACCAAAGTCGTAGCAAACGAAGCCCAAAACTCAAAAGACTCTCCCCTCAGACTCTTCCCATCACTAACCGACCGCTCGCTTGCTACTGCTTCCGTTACGAGCTCCACCCGCTTTAATGATTCGGCTGGCGCTGCCCTGCGTGTGGCACTTCCCGGTCAACCCCTGCCGGGGTGCGTTCGCACAGCGTCCGCCGCGGCACCGCCGTGCCGGATCGGCCGACGGGGAACCTCGACTCCCGGGGCCGAGCGCGTGTAGCCCAGCGTCACCCTGCGCGGAGCGGCTCCCTCCACGCCCGACCTCCGGCAGGGAGCGGCGGCGGCGGCGCCGGCGGTCACGGCCGTGCCGCGGGCTGCAGCTGGACGCAGCTGAGGTAGCGGCGGCGCGGCGAGGCGGCGGGGTCCGGGCCGTACGTGAGCGTGGTGGTGAAGGAGCGGCGCGTGGCCCCGCCCGGGAACACGAAGTGCGTGTCGGCGTAGGAGCGCCGACACGCCGTGGGCCGGGCCTCCAGGAGCACCTCGGAGCGGTGGTGGCGCCACGTGGAGCCGGCCGTGAGCACCAGCGTCTGCGCGTGCGACGTGGGGCGGCCCAGGCCGGGCCACGCGAGCAAGGCGCTGCGGTAGCGCCGCGCGGAGCCCACCTGGAGCTCGGAGACGCACCTGCTCCGACGGGACGGGATGGGACGGGCCACGTGGGAGGAATGGGGTCGGAGAACGAGCTGTCAATGTGCCCGGTCATCATCACAATGCATGGCTAGATAGCCCGTAGTAGGTGTCCACGGCACATTTCGTAATTTGTTTCCACTTTCCTCCCTGTCTTGTGCCCATATGTTCAAGTGGTGGCCAACGTCTTTCTGCCACCAATCTCTGATGTCGACATCGTCAAAGCCATTCTCTGTTAGGTCTTCCCCTCTTTCCAGGTCCTTCCATTTTTCCGAACAACAACAACAACAAGACTTTTGATTTTCCTGTTGTTGTCCACCCTACATAATGTGTCCACATAGTGTCAGTTTCCTTCTCGTCACTTGGGACACACCTCGGCAATGAGATGCGTAGAGAGATGTTGAGTTTTCTACAAAGGAGGCTCGCTGGGATTGTCCCGTATCGCGGCCCTGAGAGACGGTGATGGCTTAGGGAGGCCTTCATCCAGCAGTGGAGTGATGGTGGCTGATTGATGATGACGAATCAGTATTTACGTCTGGAGAACTTCCCCTCAATGAATGTGGAGTCATGTCAAAGCTGGTGATGTACAGTTAATGCGCGCGAGGTCGAAATCACGGAAACACTTCACCTTTGACCCGATAATTCGGATAATTCCGTTAATCGGCCCCCGGTGTAGCTTATCTGCTCTACCCACTGGCGGAGCCGGTGGGGGGGTGGGGTGGCACGTGCCCCCCCAATGATCCGATTTATTTGTAATAAATCGGCATTTTGCGACTGCCACTGTGTAGCATATTATTATGTGCCAGGGACTGAGATGATTGGACAATAGTCTTGAGTCCATAATTGGCAATAAATAACGGCAAAGCGGTTATAAGTGACTCACAGAATTGTGCGCAGTTGCGTCTACAGAGTCCACGACTTCCCTGAAGGCATCAACACCTTCAGCGAGCGCGATGCCGATCACACAACGGGGTTCGAATTCGACCCTCGATCGATGGCTGTGCCATCGATCGAGGGTCGAATAAAAAGCAAGGGACAACTCCTTACTAACAACTCCTTAAATTTTGATTTAAAGCTTTCGTGACTGCAGTAATTCATATTCTTAGCTCTTTCGGTAAAGTCACGTTGAAGGGAAACAATAAAATAATAATATATAAAACAATAAAAATTCTCACGACGTTTTGACCATAACACAAACGGTCATCATCAGGTGTGAAAACCAACGGCAAGAAACATTTGAAAGAAGTGGCGGTTTGTATTTATTTATTTTAAATAATAAAAATAAATAAATACAAACCGCCACTTCTTTCAATAATAAAAATAAATAAATACAAACCGCCACTTCTTTCAAATGTTTCTTGCCGTTGGTCGAAACGTCGTGAGATTTGTATTGTTTTATATATATATTTTATTATTTTATTGTTTCCCTTCAATATGACTTTACCGAAAGAGCTAAGAATAACAACTCCTTACTTACTAACAACTCCTCTATCATTTTTCATTGCTGGAGGGGTTGCCCCCCCTACCTGAAAATCCTGGCGAGAGACGACGGCCAGGTCCATGCGACAGTTGGTCACTGTTATATTTGTAAAACTTCTTTCGTATGCTACGTAGCCAACCGTGCCAATCGGAGGTGCGGGGAAGGACAAAAAAAACTAAACACTCGTGACCATGGTGGGAGTCCTAAACAAATCATCCAAGCCGGGGGACCATGATTGAAGTGCACTGTATAGACCACTACACCGTATTACTGTATTTACCACCACAGTGGTGGTAGTACATACAGCCTTTAAGCTCGAAATGCCACTTGGAGATTTCTGATCTACACCTGTAAAGAGACCACATCACCGCAATACCAGCCCAATCCATGCAATCCCTGATCAACTTAAAGATTGCACTCGCAATCTTCAAATACCCCACTGGATTTTTCCCACCTACTTCTCCCCTCTCGCGCAAAGTATGATCTGTGTTTTGATTTAGTGTGCTGATCTTAAATGTGCAATGAAAAATTTTGATACTCCGACTGATGCTCCTGTTGTGGAGTGACTCATGCAGCCAACTATGGCTGCAGGGTTTGGTGGTACATGTTTATGTCGTTTATTGTAAAAATTCGGTCACAGTTCCTATGATCACTGTTACATTGCTTTTATGGCTTTATTTTGGTGATTTCGCAAATGTGTTTTGGTTTGGCCATGTTTGTTTGTTGTAGTACGGAGTTAGACTGATGGCCTTAATCTAAGTTGTATTGTGGTTGTTATTTGACTTGCATCCCACTTGGATTTTTGCACACAGCGTTGGTGTACGGTGCTTTTTCTGCAATATTTTGCTGTCTTTTCTTGGATTTTCTGTTTGCACAGTCGCATAGTCACTTTAAGATGTTTTCTTGTTCATGTTTTTGCTTTTTGTTTGTTGCGGTTGCACCCGATTCAAGAGCCGAATGGTTTGCAGGGCTATACCAAATAAATGAAACTGAAAAACTGAAAACTTAAAAAACCACCATTAACCATAATCTCCGGATTATAGGGACTCACTTCTGTAATTTCAAGCTAAATGTAATCAGGTAGCTGTGTGTGTGGAACCAGATTTGTCTAACTTTAAACTATATATATTTTTTTATTTTACCAGGTAAGGCCCACTGAGTTATATAGCTCTTTCAGCTTAATTTTCAGAAGTGACCTGGCCACAAATGATAGCTCAATGAAGTGGCTTACCACGTGGAAATTTATAGCAGCCAAATACTTATGTTGACCAAATTTGGAGGGAAAAACCGGAGGACCCGGAGAAAAATCCATGCGACTCCAGGGAGAGCACGCAAACTCCAAATATACAGGAGATGGGGTCGGGATCAAACCCACGGAGCTACTGCATGACAGGCGAGGTAGTGAACATCTCGCCACTGTGGCACTCAAACATACTGTACACAAACCACGAGCAGTGATTCGTGCGCACGCAACTCGACACGTCAACTTAGCCACGGTGGCTAGGAGATGTTAACTCCCTCGCCTGGTACGCGAGGAGGTCATGGATTCCATCCTGACCCTGACGCCTGCTGTATATTTGGAGTTAGCGTGTCTCCCTCTCTCCGTGGTCGCGTGGATTTTTCAATGGGCCCTCAGGTTTTTCCCTCTACATTTAGAATCAACATCACACATTTATGAGTATTTGGCTGCTATAAATTTCCACGTGATTAGCCACTTCGTTGAGCTGTCATTTGTGGCCAGGTCGCTTCTGAAAAAGAGCTACATAGCTCAGTGGACCTTACCTGGTAAAATAAAAAGTTGATACAGTTTAATAGAGAATCGAGGATGGTGTCTGCACTCTGTCCAATCATGATTTTAATTCTGATGATTGTGCTTCTGATGGTGATATGCTGATGATGGTGAGAAGCTGATGATGATGCTTCTTGTGATGACGATGCTTATGCGGCTGATGATGCATCTGATATCGATAGTGACGATGTTTATACTTTGTATGATGACTAAGCTGATGCTGTTGCTAGTAATGCTGATGATGCGGATGCTTCTAGATTTGAAGCTTTCGTGACTGCAAGGATTCATACTCTTTGTTTTTTTTTTCGGTAAAGTCACGTATCAAGATGATACAGCGAACTTTGTTGTGTCTGTTCCACCTGAAGACGGAAGCTTGTGTTGCCTCCGAAACGTCGTGATTTAATTTAGTTTGTTTTCTTTTATTTTACCTACGTGACTTTACCGAAAAAGCCGAAGAGGATGCTGATGCTGTTGATAATAATGCTGATGATGCCGTTGCTGATGATGCTGTACTCACCTCACTTCCAGCACGCTGGGCGGTGGCTCCACCTCCACGCCCTCGCTGAAGGAGCGCGTCCTCAGGGCCTCGCTGCCGAGTGACTTCTGTCTCCCGGGCACCGCCTGCGGAGTCACCGCGTTAGTGATGCCCCCGGCGCGTGGCACAGCGGCGCGCGCCTCCTCGCCACGAGCCTTGAGCCTCTACTCATCGCCCCCGCTGGGAGGTGAGCGGGTAGAGCCTCAGGGCTCATTCACTGGGTTGCTAATTTTCGTGCCCTTTGTTCAAATAATGCGGCGTTTGATTTGAAAGAAAAAAAGCGGTGGAGAAGTCAATTGGACGAATACAAAAACAAAAACCGAGGCGGAAGAACCACGCATATTCATGGGTCCTGCAGTGGCACGCGTGCGTGCCAGTCTGCGTTCGTGAGAGAACGCCGCTCGGTCTGAGGCGGGGTGGGAGATTGACGGCTGCTGCCGTATGGCGGTGCACCTACGTATGCGTGCCGAGCGCTGTACGTAGCCAACGTACGTAGCCAACCGTGCTAATCGGAGGTTAGCACGGTTGTACTGGGATTTTCTACGCTCCCACCTAACGCCGTGCTCCCCGCCTTCCAACGGCAACGAGCCGCACTGACGAGCGCGGCGAAGTACGGTCAAGTCAACGACCCGCGAACCCTCACGGCGCGGGGAATCCCTCATCCAGCAGTGGACGTACAAAGCCCCACCCCCGTGCCCACCGATGAGCACGGTTGGCTACGTGCGGTGCGAAAGAAGTTCACGTGGCGCCTCTCCGCCAACGCGAGGGGGCCCCTGAGCCCCCCCCCTCCCCCCCGGCCCCCACGATTCACACGACCGCTACAGCGAGCGCAGGGCCGGGACTGACACATCCCGAGTTCGATCCCGGCCCGTGGGAACACCATCCTCACACGACCTCGGTCATCCACGACTGCCACCCAACCCCACCACATTCCCTTTGAAGCACCCCCCCACCTCCCCCTCTCTGTCGACCCGGAGCGGGAGTCGAACCGCGTGAGTCGCCCCGCGCTGTGGAATGTGTCGCCGGGATATCGGTTTTCGCGTTTCTCCGCAAAACTTTTCCAAATGTCACGCGCGGAGTACTGACGCCGCGGGGCCAGCGAGGCACGGAAAGGTCACAGAGAGAGACGGGGCGACAGAGAGGGACAGTCGTGTGGATGTGGAGCGAGCTGGCAGTGGAATTGACCCGAGGCTCTAGGGTTGCCACCGCTGAGATGCAAATAACCGCGACACACCACGTGATGAAGAAGAAGAAGAGGAGGAATAATAATAGCTGACCATACGAGCAGAGGGGGGAGGACCGCGTGTGGATGCATCGTGCCGCGTGGTGCATTGTTGACTATCGCTCTACAACCTGGGGGTTGTAACGTCCCGGAGAAGACTCAGGGATTGCCCCAGGACAGCAGCTGCCTCGACAAAGTTGGAGGACGGTCCTGGGGGGGGCAGGGGACAGGTGGTGACTCAACGGAGCCCCGCGGGGCCGGAGGAGAGGGCCACGTGCCGGGCTTGGAAGCAACGGGAGAGATTGGAGAGGGGAAGACTCCCTCCCATTCCTTCAGCCACCAGGACCCGTGCCAGCCACCAGGACCCGTGCCAGCCACCAGGACCCGTGCCAGCCACCAGGGCCCGTGCCAGCCACCGGGGCCCGTGCCAGCCACCGGGGCCCGTGCCAGCCACCGGGACCCGTGCCAGCCACCGGGACCCGTGCCAGCCACCGGGGCCCGTGCCAGCCACCGGGGCCCGTGCCAGCCACCGGGGCCCGTGCCAGCCACCGGGGCCCGTGCCAGCCACCAGGACCCGTGCCAGCCACCAGGACCCGTGCCAGCCACCAGGACCCGTGCCAGCCACCAGGGCCCGTGCCAGCCACCGGGACCCGTGCCAGCCACCGGGACCCGTGCCAGCCACCAGGACCTGTGCCAGCCACCAGGACCCGTGCCAGCCACCAGGACCCGTGCCAGCCACCAGGACCCGTGCCAGCCACCAGGGCCCGTGCCAGCCACCGGGACCCGTGCCAGCCACCAGGACCCGTGCCAGCCACCAGGACCCGTGCCAGCCACCAGGACCCGTGCCAGCCACCAGGGCCCGTGCCAGCCACCAGGACCCGTGCCAGCCACCAGGGCCCGTGCCAGCCACTAGGACCCGTGCCAGTGCCAGCCACCAGGACCCGTGCCAGCCACCAGGACCCGTGCCAGCCACCAGGACCCGTGTCAGCCACCAGGACCCGTGCCAGCCACCAGGGCCCGTGCCAGCCACCAGGGCCCGTGCCAGCCACTAGGACCCGTGCCAGCCACCAGGGCCCGTGCCAGCCACCAGGACCCGTGCCAGCCACCAGGGCCCGTGCCAGCCACCAGGGCCCGTGCCAGCCACTAGGACCCGTGCCAGTGCCAGCCACCAGGACCCGTGCCAGCCACCAGGGCCCGTGCCAGCCACCGGGGCCCGTGCCAGCCACCGGGGCCCGTGCCAGCCACCGGGGCCCGTGCCAGCCACCAGGGCCCGTGCCAGCCACCAGGACCCGTGCCAGCCACCAGGACCCGTGCCAGCCACCAGGGCCCGTGCCAGCCACCGGGGCCCGTGCCAGCCACCGGGGCCCGTGCCAGCCACCGGGGCCCGTGCCAGCCACCAGGACCCGTGCCAGCCACCAGGACCCGTGCCAGCCACCAGGACCCGTGCCAGCCACCAGGGCCCGTGCCAGCCACCAGGACCCGTGCCAGCCACCAGGGCCCGTGCCAGCCACCACGACCCGTGCCAGCCACCAGGGCCCGTGCCAGCCACCAGGGCCCGTGCCAGCCACCAGGGGGTTCATGGGTGGCGAGTGCAGCTGAGGTGGCGGGGTGTAGCAGTCAGCGTGCCACACTACGAACCCGGCATCCCGGGTTCAATTCCCACTAACGGCCACCAACACCGGTGATGATTGTCTGAAGCGGTCCTGGGCGTCCCATAGGTCGACTCAGCCTCAAATGAGGAGTACCTGGGTGCGGTGTGTAGTAAACATCGCCACCTCGGGAGACAACCGGGGTCGGGCGTGGTGCTGGTCACCCACCCCCTCGTGTGCCACAGTGCCGGCGTTCATAGGCGCTACTCGCTAACAGCACTTGCCCCAACAGCCTGTTAAGGCTATACAGGGGATCTTTGTTTTTTTAGGTGGGGGGGGGGCACTGTTGACAGAGAGTGTGAACTTGTCAAAGAGACGAATGGTGGGCTCTCTATTTACCCGCAATAACACAACGCCGTCTCAGACACACCGGCTGTGCTGTACGAGGAACTCACTGCCACGTTTGGTTTGTGTGACAAACCTTATTGATTGGCTGTGTCGGGTGGTGGTGAGCTTAACGACACATTCATATTTACGCGATCTAACCCAAACGCCCCCCCCCCCCTTGATTATGGATAGTCAGGCTTGTATGAGTTTGGCAGTGGGGGGAGGGGCCGGGGGAAGGTGCCCCGTGATTCGGGCCCCCCAGTGTGGATGTTTGGATTTGTGGGGAGGGGGGGGGGGCTCTCATTCGGGGAGTCTGGGGGGGGGGGGCAGCAGCCACTCACGTGGCTCGGTGTAAGTCAGCGCGCGGAGTGGCGGCGCGGTGCTTAGCGTACTCCGCTGTGTACCCGGCCACCTGAGTTCGATCCCCGGCCTCGGGTAAGCTCGGCGTAGAGTCGTCATCTGAACCAGCCCTGCCCCCCCCACCCCCCAACTAACATGGCGTGGGGCAGCCGACATCTAGCAGTGGGTGGATAAAGAACTGTGGATGACTGCTCTTCATAATTGCTTTAAAACGGCATTGTGTGATTGTGGGTAGCTAAACAGACCACACTTGTTCACTTGCCTACTGCCTTGCCAAATATTACCCAGAAGCCTCTGCTTACACAACGAAACCCCGGGCTGGCTTCCACCTTCGTGGTGTTAAGGTCACACTCGTCACAAAGTGTGCTTGCCACAAATGAACCACAACGCCTCACTCATCTCGTCAAGGATCATGAACCATCACGAGAACTGAGGTCATCCTCGCGGCAGCAGCAGCGGCTTCTGGCTGCTAACCATCAAACAAAGACGGTGGTCACCGCATCGCGCGCTTTCAGGTGCGCTTCTGCGGCCGTCTGGAACGCTCTTCCTTCCGATGTTAGGAAGCCACTGGAGCTATGTGCACTTTTATATCTAGATTGAAAACTCTTTCTTCCTAACTGCTTTTTGTGTTTAGTGTGTTGTCTCCCCCTCCCCCCGCACCTCCGATTGGCACGGTTGGCTACGTACGGTGCGAAAGAAGTTCAAAGGCACAGACATCAGCGGAGTCAGACTCGTTAAACGTGCGTCGCTCGATGACCAGATCTTATTGGCAAGAGCTCTCCGTCTAAACCATGGGGGCCCTCTTTTGGTCCGGAAAGCCAATTAATTAGCGGACGGACGGAGCCGTTGTTTGTCTGTCCGCATGGAGACGCCGAGCGGAGGTCTGCGTGAGATGTCTCCAACTCGAGTCGATCACGCGGAGAGATAACCGACACCATCTCCCGTTCAAGACTCTTCCCCCCGTGCGCCTCATCTCCCGTTTCCGGGCCTCTCTCCCCTCCCTCTCTGCCGCTCTCTCCCAGTCGAGGCGCGGGCGGGAGAGTTGGGCGGAGGGGACGCGGTTACTCCTCGTACGGCACGGAAAGAATTCACGCGAGGGAGAGCGGGGGGTGGTGTAACTCTCGTACACACGGGGGGAGAGGGACATCGCGCTCCTCAAGAGCGCCGGGATTCAAAGCCGCCCACGGTGAATGAAGCAGGAGGAGGGAAAGAAAGATGGGGAGAGGTCGAAAGTGCCATCGTTTATATTTCTGATGAAGTGGAGTGTGCTGTGAGCGGTGTGGTGTCTTCTTGGGGAGAGTAGTGGCGCAGTGGTAAGCCACCTAAGTTCGAATCCCAGCCACGGCTAACATCAGCGGTGAGCGCTACCTGAAACGACTCCCCCCTGACATCCCCAGCTGAGTATCGGGTGTGGTGAAGTATGGTCGGCAACACCCAGCAGTAGACTGACACTGGGCTCTGTGAATTGTCACGTTCACGGAGGGACAAAGGAGATGCCAAGAGGGAGAGACGGAGCGAGATCACGGGGGGGGAGAGTGGGGGGAGATGACCTCTGGAGGTGAGTGACCTTTCCCGGTAGGCACCGTGCCGTCTGTGTCGCACGGGAGCGACGCAGCAACCGAGGCGCGCAAGCGGTGCAACTGCGCCGGGGGGGGAGGGGGGAGGGGCGGGAGGGGGGAATCCGGGCGCCAGGCGGCTACGCGGAGATGAGGGACTTGGAGGGGGTGGGGGAGGGGGTGGGGGAGGGACTTGGAGGGGGTGGGGGAGGGGCTGCCCCCCCCCTTGTGTCCTGGGGCGGCTGACGGCTTCGAGCACCACGCTGCCGCGTGCAGAGCCTCTGCACGGCTGGCGGTGGCTGGGAGATGTTAACTACCTCGCCTGCTCTACAGGAGGTTCAATCTCGACCCTGACGCCTGCTGTATATTTGGAGTCTGCGCGTCTCTCCCCGTGGTCACGTGGATTTTCCTCCGGCTTTTCCCCTCCACGATTTGAATCAACATCCACGCGTTTTGAGTTTTTAGCTGCTGCAAAATTTCCACGTGATAAGCCACTTCGCTGAGCTATCATTTGTGGCCAGGTCGCTTCTGAAAAAGAGCTACATAGCTCAGTGGGCCTTGCCTGGCGCAGCGGTTAGCGCGCTGCTGCGCTCAGAACCCGGGCGACCAGAATTGCATTCCCTCTCACGGCCAACACCGGTGACGATTATCTGAACTCGGTGATGGGCCTTCTCCCCTAGGTAGACTCAGCCTCAAAAGAGTACCTGGTGCGGTGTGTAAAATAATCGCCACTGGGGAGACAAAGGTGGCCGGGCAGGTGCGTGGTGCAGGCCACCCACCCCCTCGTGTGCCGTGCCGGCCTTCGTAGGCGCTACTCGCTAACAGCACTTGCCCCAACAGTCTGCTAGGCTACACGGGGGACCTTTGTCTTGTTCTGTGCGTGCGCTGCGAGAGGGATCCGCGTGAGATGTCAATCGCGGTCGCCTCTCGCGTTGCGTTCGTCTAAGCAAAGGGTCGTTGCCCGAAACGTTTGTATAGAGTCTATACAGTCTAGATATGCATTGTATTCGTGAGTACGGCAGCGACGTGGTTCAATGTCGCGGTCTGCTGCTGCTGCTGCTGCCGGCCACGACGAGAGGCTCCATCAGAGGGAGAGAGTTCGTGTCGCTCCTCCTCCTCCGTTGCAGCAGCAGCAGCGCAGTGAGCCACAGTGTGGGTCGCATGGCGCTCCTCGCTAACAGCACTTGCCCCAACAGTCTGTTAAAGCTACACGGGGGACCTTTGTCTTTGGTGGTGGAGCGTGGGGGGTGGGGTGGCCACGCGCGCTTTACCCGCTGGAGCAGCCCGGCCCCGCAGCTGCTGCCGGAGGACGCTGCCGAGGGTCCCCGTGACCCCGTGGAGGGGCTCCAGGCGCCGGGGCTGGCGGAGTGCAGCGGCGGGCTCGGGCTGGGGGGCAGCCCCGAGTCGGGGCTGTCGAGGCCGCCGTCGCGGCCGCGGTGGAGCCGCTTCGCCTCGAACTGCGCGTCCATCTCGCGGAGCACGAGGTGGCCCACCATGGCGGGGCCTGGGGGCGAGGGGCGGGGTTGTCAGGGTGGGCTCCGGGTGGGGGGGGGGTGCAGGCATCCGTGTCCACGTGCTGGCGGTGGCGCGCGCACGTGGAGAGCGGTGGTGCAGCGCTGAGCGCTACGCTGCGCTACGAACCCGGCTACCCGAGTTCCATTTCCGCTCATGGCCAACGCCCAGTCTGTGGCGATTGTCTGAACCGGTCCTGGGCCTCACCTAGGTCGACTCAGCTTCAAATGAGTAGTTGGTGCGGGGTGCAAACATCGCCACTGGGGAGACAAAGGCGGCCGGGCGTGGTGCTGGCCACCCGCCCGCTCGTGTGCCGTGCCGGTCTCCATGGGTGTTTCACGAACAGCACTTGCCCCGGCAGCTTGCGTAGGCTACACGGGGGATCTTTATATTTGTGTATTCACGTGCTGTTGTGTCGGTAGGCGTGTGTGTGTGTGTTTATAGGGCGTGGTGCTGGCCACCCACCCCATCGTGTGCCGTGCAGACCTTGATAGGTGCTCGCCCACAGCACTTGCCCCAAAAGTCTGTTAAGGTTATACGGGGGAACTTTGTTCATTGTTGCCTGTGTTTATCAGAGTGCACCTAGCCTGGCACGATTGCCATGGGACGTCACCGCCACTTAGTGGCGAACGGCGGTTGTTGTTGTTCGCAGTGCACGTGCTGTGAGCGTGAGTTGGTCTTACAGTGTCACGTGCTGTGTGTGTTGTGTGTTGTGATAGTGTTGTGTGTTGTGATAGTGGTGTGTGTTGTGATAGTGTTGTGGGTGTGTTGTGATAGTGGTGTGTGTGTTGTGATAGTGGTGTGTGTGTTGTGATAGTGGTGTGTGTTGTGATAGTGGAGTGTGTGTGTTGTGATAGTGGTGTGTGTTGTGATAGTGGTGTGTGTGTTGTGTGTTGTGATAGTGGTGTGTTTGTGTGATGTGTGTGTTGTGATAGTGGTGTGTGTGTGATAGTGGTGTGTGTTGTGATAGTGGTGTGTGTGTTGTGATAGTGGTGTGTGTTGTGATAGTGGTGTGTGTTGTGATAGTGGTGTGTGTTGTGTGTGTGTTGTGATTGTGGTGTGTGTGTTGTAATAGTGGTGTGTGTGTGTTGTAATAGTGGTGTGTGTGTGTTGTGATAGTGGTGTGTGTTGTGATAGTGTTGTGTGTTGTGATAGTGGTGTGTGTGTGTGATAGTGGTGTGTGTGTGATAGTGGTGTGTGTTGTGATAGTGGTGTTTGTTGTGATAGTGGTGTGTGTGTTGTGTGTGTGTTGTGATAGTGGTGTGTGTTGTGATAGTCGTGTGTGTGTTGTGTGTGTTGTGTGTGTGTTGTGATAGTGGTGTGTGTGTTGTGATAGTGGTGTGTGTTGTGATAGTGGTGTGTGTGTTGTGATAGTGGTGTGTGTTGTGATAGTGGTGTGTGTGTGTTGTGATAGTGGTGTGTGTTGTGTGTGTGTTGTGATAGTGGTGTGTGTTGTGATTGTGGTGTGTGTGTGTTGTGATAGTGGTGTGTGTTGTGTGTGTGTTGTGATTGTGGTGTGTGTGTGTTGTAATAGTGGTGTGTGTGTGTTGTAATAGTGGTGTGTGTGTGTTGTGATAGTGGTGTGTGTTGTGATAGTGTTGTGTGTTGTGATAGTGGTGTGTGTGTGTGATAGTGGTGTGTGTGTGATAGTGGTGTGTGTTGTGATAGTGGTGTGTGTTGTGATAGTGGTGTTTGTTGTGATAGTGGTGTGTGTGTTGTGTGTGTGTTGTGATAGTGGTGTGTGTTGTGATAGTCGTGTGTGTGTTGTGTGTGTTGTGTGTGTGTTGTGATAGTGGTGTGTGTGTTGTGATAGTGGTGTGTGTTGTGATAGTGGTGTGTGTGTTGTGATAGTGGTGTGTGTTGTGATAGTGGTGTGTGTGTGTTGTGATAGTGGTGTGTGTTGTGTGTGTGTTGTGATAGTGGTGTGTGTTGTGATTGTGGTGTGTGTGTGTGTTGTGATAGTGGTGTGTGTTGTGATAGTGGTGTGTGTTGTGATAGTGGTGTGTGTGTGTGGTGGTGTTGGCTGTGTGTGTGGTGGTGGTGGTGTTGGCTATGTGTGTGGTGGTGGTGTTGGCTGTGTGTGTGTGGTGGTGGTGTTGGCTGTGTGTGTGTGGTGGTGTTGGCTGTGTGTGGTGGTGCTGGCTGTGTGTGTGGTGGTGGTGTTGGCTGTGTGTGGTGTTGGCTGTGTGTGTGGTGGTGGTGTTGGCTGTGTGTGTGTGGTGTTGCCTGTGTGGTGGTGTTGACTGTGTGTGTGTGGTGGTGTTGGCTATGTGTGTGTGGTGTTGGCTATGTGTGTGTGTGGTGTTGACTGTGTGTGTGTGTGTGGTGGTGTTGGCTGTGTGGTGGTGTTGACTGTGTGTGTGGTGGTGGTGTTGACTGTGTGCGTGTGGTGGTGTTGGCTGTGTGTGTGGTGGTGGTGTTGACTGTGTGTGTGGTGGTGGTGTTGGCTGTGTGTGTGGTGGTGGTGTTGGCTGTGTGTGGTGGTGTTGACTGTGTGTGTGTGTGGTGTTGGCTGTGTGGTGGTGTTGACAGTGTGTGTGTGTGGTGTTGGCTGTGTGGTGGTGTTGGCTGTGTGGTGGTGTTGACAGTGTGTGTGTGTGTGGTGTTGGCTGTGTGTGTGTGGTGTTGACTGTGTGTGGTGGTGGTGTTGGCTGTGTGTGTGTGGTGTTGGCTGTGTGGTGGTGTTGACAGTGTGTGTGGTGGTGGTGTTGGCTGTGTGTGTGTGGTGTTGGCTGTGTGTGTGTGGTGTTGGCTGTGTGGTGGTGTTGACTGTGTGTGTGTGGTGGTGTTGGCTGTGTGTGTGGTGTTGGCTGTGTGTGTGTGGTGGTGTTGGCTGTGTGTGTGGTGTTGGCTGTGTGGTGGTGTTGGCTGTGTGTGTGGTGGTGTTGGCTGTGTGTGTGTGGTGTTGACTGTGTGTGTGTGTGGTGTTGGCTGTGTGTGTGTGTGGTGTTGGTCGTGTGTGTATGGTGTTGACTGTGTGTGTGGTGGTGGTGTTGGCTGTGTGGTGGTGTTGGCTGTGTGTGTGGTGTTGACTATATGTGTGTGGTGGTGGTGTTGGCTGTGTGGGTGGTGTTGGCTGTGTGTGTGTGTGGTGTTGGCTATGTGTGTGTGTGTGGTGTTGGCTGTGTGTGGTGTTGACAGTGTGTGTGGTGGTGGTGTTCTCTGTGTGTGTGGTGTTGACTGTGTGTGGTGTTGGCTGTGTGTGTGGTGTTGGCTGTGTGTGTGTGGTGGTGTTGACAGTGTGTGTGTGGTGTTGGCTGTGTGTGTGTGGTGGTGTTGACAGTGTGTGTGTGGTGTTGGCTGTGTGTGTGTGGTGTTGGCTGTGTGTGTGTGGTGGTGTTGACTGTGTGTGTGGTGGTGGTGTTGGCTGTGTGTGTGTGGTGTTGGCTGTGTGTGTGGTGTTGACAGTGCGTGTGTGTGGTGTTGACAGTGTGTGTGTGGTGTTGGCTGTGTGGTGGTGGTGTTGACAGTGTGTGTATGGTGGTGTTGACTGTGTGTGTGTGTGTTGTTGACTGTGTATGTGTGTGGTGGTGTTGGCTGTGTGTGTGTGGTGATGACTGTATGTGTGGTGTTGACTGTATGTGTGTTGTTGGCTGTGTGTGTGTTGTGAGTCATGACCTGCTCTCTAACCAGCTCAGGTGGCTGCTCAGAGCGAACGACTCCAGGAATAAAACAATCCAGGTTGGGGGTTGACGCAGCCCATCATCCCTCCGGGGTCGACAAAGTATGTACCACGTTATGGAGAAGTCAACAGTAGTTCTATGGATAGACTAGCCCCTGCCATATGGACGTGGAATTTCCACCACTGGCTCAGGGCTAGGAACAGGAGATGACCACCATCTGAATGTTCATGTGAATAGCAGGAGATTACTCTGTGCGTTATAACCACGACCTGGGTGTGTGCTCTGGGTGTGTGCTCTGGGTGTGTGCTCTGGGTGTGTGCTCTGGGTGTGTGCTATGGGTGTGTGCTCTGGGTGTGTGCTCTGGGTGTGTGCTCTGGGTGTGTGCTCTGGGTGTGTGCTCTGGGTGTGTGCTCTGGGTGTGTGCTATGGGTGTGTGCTCTGGGTGTGTGCTCTGGGTGTGTGCTCTGGGTGTGTCCTCTGGGTGTGTGCTCTGGGTGTGTGCTCTGGGTGTGTGCTATGGGTGTGTGCTCTGGGTGTGTGCTATTGGTGTGTGCTCTGGGTGTGTGCTCTGGGTGTGTGCTATGGGTGTGTGCTCTGGGTGTGTGCTATGGGTGTGTGCTATTGCTATGGGTGTGTGCTCTGTGTGTGTGCTCTGGGTGTGTGCTCTGGGTGTGTGCTCTGGGTGTGTGCTCTGGGTGTGTGCTCTGGGTGTGTGCTCTGGGTGTGTGCTATGGGTGTGTGCTCTGGGTTTGTGCTCTGGGTGTGTGCTCTGGGTGTGTGCTCTGGGTGTGTGCTCTAGGTGTGTGCTCTGGGTGTGTGCTCTGGGTGTGTGCTCTGGGTGTGTGCTCTGGGTGTGTGCTATGGGTGTGTGCTCTGGGTGTGTGCTCTGGGTGTGTGCTCTGGGTGTGTGCTCTGGGTGTGTGCTCTGGGTGTGTGCTCTGGGTGTGTGCTATGGGTGTGTGCTCTGGGTGTGTGCTATTGGTGTGTGCTCTGGGTGTGTGCTCTGGGTGTGTGCTATGGGTGTGTGCTCTGGGTGTGTGCTATGGGTGTGTGCTCTGGGTGTGTGCTCTGGGTGTGTGCTCTGGGTGTGTGCTCTGGGTGTGTGCTCTGGGTGTTTTGTTGGTGTGTGCTCTGGGTGTGTGCTATGGGTGTGTGCTCTGGGTGTGTGCTCTGGGTGTGTTGTTGGTGTGTGCTCTAGGTGTGTGCTCTGGGTGTGTGCTCTGGGTGTGTGCTCTGGGTGTGTGCTCTGGGTGTGTGCTCTGGGTGTGTGCTCTGGGTGTGTGCTCTGGGTGTGTCCTCTGGGTGTGTGCTCTGGGTGTGTGCTCTGGGTGTGTGCTCTGGGTGTGTGCTATGGGTGTGTGCTCTGGGTGTGTGCTATTGGTGTGTGCTCTGGGTGTGTGCTCTGGGTGTGTGCTATGGGTGTGTGCTCTGGGTGTGTGCTATGGGTGTGTGCTCTGGGTGTGTGCTCTGGGTGTGTGCTCTGGGTGTGTGCTCTGGGTGTGTGCTCTGGGTGTTTTGTTGGTGTGTGCTCTGGGTGTGTGCTCTGGGTGTGTGCTCTGGGTGTGTGCTCTGGGTGTGTTGTTGGTGTGTGCTCTTGGTGTGTGCTCTGGGTGTGTGCTCTGGGTGTGTGCTCTGGGTGTGTGCTCTGGGTGTGTGCTATGGGTGTGTGCTCTGGGTGTGTGCTCTGGGTGTGTCCTCTGGGTGTGTGCTCTGGGTGTGTGCTCTGGGTGTGTGCTCTGGGTGTGTGCTCTGGGTGTGTGCTCTGGGTGTGTGCTATTGGTGTGTGCTCTGGGTGTGTGCTCTGGGTGTGTGCTATGGGTGTGTGCTCTGGGTGTGTGCTATGGGTGTGTGCTCTGGGTGTGTGCTCTGGGTGTGTGCTCTGGGTGTGTGCTCTGGGTGTGTGCTCTGGGTGTTTTGTTGGTGTGTGCTCTGGGTGTGTGCTATGGGTGTGTGCTCTGGGTGTGTGCTCTGGGTGTGATGTTGGTGTGTGTATGTTATGGGTTTGTGTGTGTGTTAAGAGTGCGTATCTGTGTATGTGCATCGGTCGTGTTAGTGGTTCGCGCGCTGCGCTACGAACCAAGCTACCAGAGTTCGATTCCCGCTCACTACCAACAAGAGTGGTGATATTTTTAACCAGTTCTGCCCCACCCCCCGTCCCTAGGTCGACTCAGCCTTAAATGAGTACCTGATGCGGTGTGTAAACATGAGCACGAGGCCGGGCGTGGTGCTGGCCACCCACCCCCTCGTGTGCGGTTCCGGCCTTCATAGGTGCTACTCGCTACGAACAGCACTTGCCCCAACAGTCTGCTAAGGCTACATGGGGGAGCTTTGTATTTGTGTTATGACTGCTGCTGGGGCTCCTGGCACCACCACCAGCAGCGCCACAACACGCGTCTCAATGTCGCTAACGCTGCGTGTGCGGCCTTACAAGGGAAAGGGTCATTGCCCGAAACGTCAGCAGTGCGGTTCGAGCTTTGTGCACCACACTGCTAACGCAGCAGCAGCAGCAGCATCCATGTGCGTATGTTGAACTTCTTTCTCACCGTACGTAGCCATCCTTGCTAATCGGAGTTGGCGCAGTGGTTACCCTGCACAACAAACCCAAGCCACCCGAGTTCGATCCCGGGCCAGGGCTGCACACATTAGTGGTGAGTTTTATCTGAACGCGTCTTATCCACCCCACTCACCTCCCCTGCTGCTGCTGCTGCTACTTCCCCACCAACCTGCACTGACCAGCGTGGTGAAGTATGGTCAAACAACCCGCCTGCTTCTCATGGGGCAGGGGGGTTGTTTGAGGGGCATTCATCCAGCGTCGGATTGCCAAATCCGCTACAACATCGCCATCACAAGACGCATTGTCACGTGTGCGGGCAATTACCATCCGTGTGTGCGATTGTGGTGGCCGTGAGACCCACACTGTGGACCCACGCGGTGACCCACACTGTGGACCCACGCAGTGACCCACACTGTGGACCCACGCAGTGACCCACACTGTGGACCCACGCAGCGACCCACACTGTGGACCCACGCGGTGACCCACACTGTGGACCCACGCAGTGACCCACACTGTGGACCCACGCAGCGACCCACACTGTGGACCCACGCAGTGACCCACACTGTGGACCCACGCAGTGACCCACACTGTGGACCCACGCGGTGACCCACACTGTGGACCCACGCAGTGACCCACACTGTGGACCCACGCAGTGACCCACACTGTGGCTCACTGCGCTGCTGCTGCTGCAACGGAGGAGGAGGAGGAAGAGCGACACGAACTCTCTCCCTCTGATGGAGCCTCTCGTCGTGGCCGGCAGCAGCAGCAGCAGCAGACCGCGACATTGAACCACGTCGCTGCCGTACTCACGAATACAATGCATATCTAGACTGTATAGACTGTATACAGACGTTTCGAGCAACGAGCCTTTGCTTAGACGAACGCAACGCGAGAGGCGACCGCGATTGACATCTCACGCGGATCCCTCTCGCAGCGCACGCACAGAACAAGACAAAGGTCCCCCGTGTAGCCTAGCAGACTGTTGGGGCAAGTGCTGTTAGCGAGTAGCACCTATGAAGGCCGGCACGGCACACGAGGGAGTGGGTGGCCAGCACCACCCACGGCCGCCTTTGTCTCCCCCAGTGGCGATGTTTACACGCCGCACCAGGTACTCATTTGAGGCTGAGTCGACCTAGGGGAGGCCCTGGACTGATGTGTTGGTGGCCGTGAGCGGGAATGGAACTCGGAGTGTCACCCACGGGGGTAGCGCCGCTCCATCCCGAGTGGCACAGGCAGCAGCATCAGCAGCAGCATCAGCAGCATCATCAAGATAATCAGCATCATCATAATCATCATAATCAGCATCAGCAGCATCATCAGCATCATCAGCAGCAGCAGCAGCAGCAGAAGCATCATCATAATCAGCAGCATCATCATAATCATCAGCATCATCAGCATCATAATCAGCAGCAGCATCAGCAGCATCAAGATAATCAGCATCATCATAATCAGCATCAGCAGCAGCATCATCAGCAGCATCATCAGCATCATCAGCAGCAGCATCATCATAATCATCAGCATCATCAGCATCATAATCAGCAGCATCAGCATCAGCAGCATCATCAAGATAAACAGCATCATCATAATCAGCATCATCATAATCAGCAGCATCAGCAGCAGCATCATCAGCAGCAGCATCAGCATCATCAGCAGCAGCATCAGCAGCAGCATCATCAGCAGCAGCATCAGCATCATCAGCAGCAGCATCAGCAGCAGCATCATCATCATCTTACCCTGCTGCTGCTGCTTGCGCCGGTGGAGGTCTCGCCACCACCTCTCCTGTTGCTCCGTCTGCCGCTGATGCTGCTGCTGCTACCCCCAACAGCAGCAGCAGTCCGCTCAACAGCTGATGTTGCTGCTGCTGTTACTGCTGCTGCTGTTGTTGCTACTGCTGTTGTTGCTACTGCTGTAGTTGTTACTGTTGCTGCTGCCACTGTTGTTGTTGCTGCTACTGTTGTTGTTGTTGCTGCTACTGTTGTTGCTGCTGTTGTTGTTGTTGCTACTGTTGTTGTTGTTGCTACTGTTGTTGTTGTTGCTGCTACTGTTGTTGTTGTTGCTGCTACTGTTGTTGTTGCTGCTACTGTTGTTGTTGCTACTGTTGTTGCTGCTACTGTTGTTGTTGTTGCTGCTACTGTTGTTGCTGCTACTGTTGTTGTTGTTGCTACTGTTGTTGTTGCTGCTACTGTTGTTGTTGTTGCTGCTACTGTTGTTGTTGCTGCTACTGTTGTTGTTGCTACTGTTGTTGTTGCTGCTACTGTTGTTGTTGTTGCTGCTACTGTTGTTGCTGCTACTGTTGTTGTTGTTGCTACTGTTGTTGTTGCTGCTACTGTTGTTGTTGTTGCTGCTACTGTTGTTGTTGCTACTGTTGTTGTTGCTGCTACTGTTGTTGTTGTTGTTGCTGCTACTGTTGTTGCTGCTACTGTTGTTGTAGTTGCTACTGTTGTTGTTGCTACTGTTGTTGTTGTTGCTGCTACTGTTGTTGTTGTTGCTGCTACTGTTGTTGTTGCTGCTACTGTTGTTGTTGCTACTGTTGTTGTTGCTACTGTTGTTGTTGTTGCTGCTACTGTTGTTGCTGCTACTGTTGTTGTTGCTGCTACTGTTGTTGTTGTTGCTGCTACTGTTGTTGTTGCTACTGTTGTTGTTGCTGCTACTGTTGTTGTTGTTGTTGCTGCTACTGTTGTTGCTGCTACTGTTGTTGTTGTTGCTACTGTTGTTGTTGCTACTGTTGTTGTTGTTGCTGCTACTGTTGTTGTTGTTGCTGCTACTGTTGTTGTTGCTGCTACTGTTGTTGTTGCTACTGTTGTTGTTGCTACTGTTGTTGTTGTTGCTGCTACTGTTGTTGCTGCTACTGTTGTTGTTGCTGCTACTGTTGTTGTTGTTGCTGCTACTGTTGTTGTTGCTACTGTTGTTGTTGCTGCTACTGTTGTTGTTGTTGTTGCTGCTACTGTTGTTGCTGCTACTGTTGTTGTTGTTGCTACTGTTGTTGTTGCTGCTACTGTTGTTGTTGCTGCTGTTGTTGTTGTTGTTGCTACTGTTGTTGTTGCTGCTACTGTTGTTGCTGCTACTGTTGTTGTTGCTGCTACTGTTGTTGTTGTTGCTGCTACTGTTGTTGTTGCTACTGTTGTTGTTGCTGCTACTGTTGTTGTTGTTGTTGCTGCTACTGTTGTTGCTGCTACTGTTGTTGTTGTTGCTACTGTTGTTGTTGCTGCTACTGTTGTTGTTGCTGCTGTTGTTGTTGTTGTTGCTACTGTTGTTGTTGCTGCTGTTGTTGTTGTTGTTGCTGCTGTTGTTGTTGTTCCCAGTTGCCTCCACTGACCGAAGCAAACGCTGCTCGCGTGAGAGCTGCGGCGCAGCCAGTCCACTGCGATACTGCGAGATCTGCGTTATAGCAGCAGCAGTGTGTGTGTCACTGTGTGTGTGTGTGTCACTGTGTGTGTGTGTGTCACTGTGTGTGTGTGTGTTACACTGTGTGTGTGTGTGTCACTGTGTGTGTGTGTGTCACTGTGTGTGTGTGTGTCACTGTGTGTGTGTGTGTCACTGTGTGTGTGTGTGTCACTGTGTGTGTGTGTGTTACACTGTGTGTGTGTGTCACTGTGTGTGTGTGTGTTACACTGTGTGTGTGTGTCACTGTGTGTGTGTGTCACTGTGTGTGTGTGTTACACTGTGTGTGTGTGTCACTGTGTGTGTCACTGTGTGTCACTGTGTGTGTCACTGTGTGTGTGTGTCACTGTGTGTCACTGTGTGTGTCACTGTGTGTGTGTGTCACTGTGTGTGTGTCACTGTGTGTGTGTGTCACTGTGTGTGTGTGTCACTGTGTGTGTGTCACTGTGTGTGTGTGTCACTGTGTGTGTCACTGTGTGTGTGTGTGTCACTGTGTGTGTGTGTCACTGTGTGTGTGTGTGTGTCACTGTGTGTGTCACTGTGTGTGTGTGTGTCACTGTGTGTGTGTGTGTCACTGTGTGTGTGTGTGTCACTGTGTGTGTGTGTGTGTTACACTGTGTGTGTGTGTGTCACTGTGTGTGTCACTGTGTGTGTCACTGTGTGTGTGTCACTGTGTGTGTCACTGTGTGTTACACTGTGTGTGTGTGTGTGTCACTGTGTGTGTGTGTCACTGTGTGTGTCACTGTGTGTGTCACTGTGTGTGTCACTGTGTGTGTGTGTCACTGTGTGTGTGTGTCACTGTGTGTGTGTGTGTGTTACACTGTGTGTGTGTCACTGTGTGTGTGTGTGTTACACTGTGTGTGTGTGTGTGTCACTGTGTGTGTGTCACTGTGTGTGTCACTGTGTGTGTGTCACTGTGTGTGTGTGTGTGTCACTGTGTGTGTGTGTCACTGTGTGTGTCACTGTGTGTGTCACTGTGTGTGTCACTGTGTGTGTGTCACTGTGTGTGTCACTGTGTGTGTGTGTCACTGTGTGTGTGTCACTGTGTGTGTCACTGTGTGTGTGTCACTGTGTGTGTCACTGTGTGTGTGTGTCACTGTGTGTGTGTGTCACTGTGTGTGTGTCACTGTGTGTGTCACTGTGTGTGTGTCACTCACTGTGTGTGTGTGTCACTGTGTGTGTGTGTCACTGTGTGTGTGTGTGTGTCACTGTGTGTGTGTGTGTGTCACTGTGTGTGTGTGTGTTACACTGTGTGTGTGTCACTGTGTGTGTCACTGTGTGTGTGTCACTGTGTGTGTGTCACTGTGTGTGTGTGTCACTGTGTGTGTGTGTGTCACTGTGTGTGTGTGTCACTGTGTGTGTGTGTGTCACTGTGTGTGTGTGTCACTGTGTGTGTGTGTCACTGTGTGTGTGTGTGTGTCACTGTGTGTGTGTCACTGTGTGTGTCACTGTGTGTGTCACTGTGTGTGTGTGTCACTGTGTGTGTGTGTCACTGTGTGTGTCACTGTGTGTGTGTCACTGTGTGTGTGTGTCACTGTGTGTGTGTCACTGTGTGTGTGTCACTGTGTGTGTGTGTGTCACTGTGTGTGTGTGTCACTGTGTGTGTGTCACTGTGTGTGTGTGTCACTGTGTGTGTGTGTGTGTCACTGTGTGTGTGTATCACTGTGTGTGTCACTATGTGTGTATCACTGTGTGTGTCACTGTGTGTGTGTCACTGTGTGTGTGTGTGTCACTGTGTGTGTGTCACTGTGTGTGTGTGTCACTGTGTGTCACTGTGTGTCACTGTGTGTGTGTGTCACTGTGTGTGTGTCACTGTGTGTGTGTCACTGTGTGTGTGTGTGTCACTGTGTGTGTCACTGTGTGTGTATCACTGTGTGTGTGTGTCACTGTGTGTGTGTGTCACTGTGTGTGTCACTGTGTGTGTGTCACTGTGTGTGTGTATCACTATCCCCTTCTCTCTCCCACTCTCTCTGTCCCCTCTCCCCTCGCTGCCTCCCACCACCACCCCTCGAGCCATCTCCCTCCACAAACTCCCTCCTCCTCTTCCCCGCGCCTCTCCTTTGATTGACAGCGCGACGGGTGGCGATGGTGGTGGTGGTGGTGGTGGTGCGGGTGGTGGTGGTGCGGGTGGTGGTGGTGCGGGTGGTGGTGGTGCGGGTGGTGGTGGTGCGGGTGGTGGTGCGGGTGGTGGTGGTGGTGCGGGTGGTGATGGGTGGGCGTTGTGGTGGAGGGAGGGAGGAGGATGGGGGGGGGGTGCTGCTGCTGGAAGACTTTGTGGGAGGGTCGCGGTGGGATTCGCGTTTCCTTTCATTGGCCTCGGATGTGCCACGTGGCCCCGCGGCCGCGCGTTGTGACGTCACGGGGATGGACGCGGAGTGGGAGGGGCGGTGGAGGGGGGGTGGTAGGGGGGTGGAGGGGGGGGGGTGGAGGGGGGGTGGAGGGGGGGTGGTGGGGGGGGTGCCTCGGGGTCCGCTCGGGGCCGAGGAGCGCGGCTCAGTCGGCTCAGCTGCCCGCACGGTGTGAGTGGTGAGTGTGGTGGTGAGTGTGGTGAGTGTGGTGGTGAGTGTGGTGGTGAGTGTGGTGAGTGTAGTGAGTGTGGTGAGTGAGTGTGGTGAGTGTAGTGAATGTGGTGAGTGAGTGTGGTGAGTGTGGTGAGTGTGTGTGGTGAGTGTGGTGAGTGTGATTGTGATTGGTGAGTGTGGTGAGTGTGGTGAGTGAGTGTGGTGAGTGAGTGTGGTGAGTGTGTGTGGTGAGTGGTGTGAGTGGTGAGTGGTGAGTGTGGTGAGTGTGAGTGTGGTGATTGTGGTGAGTGTGGTGAGTGTGGTGAGTGAGTGTGGTGAGTGTGGTGAGTGTGGTGAGTGAGTGGTGAGTGTGGTGAGTGAGTGGTGAGTGTGGTGAGTGTGGTGAGTGTGTGTGGTGAGTGTGGTGAGTGAGTGTGGTGGTGTGGTGGTGAGTGTAGTGTGTGTGGTGAGTGTAGTGAGTGTGAGTGGTGAGTGTGGTGTGTGGTGAGTGTGTGTGGTGAGTGGTGAGTGTAGTGAGTGTGGTGGTGGGTGTAGTGAGTGTGGTGAGTGTGGTGAGTGAGTGTGGTGAGTGAGTGTGGTGAGTGTGAGTGGTGAGTGTGATTGTGAGTGATGAGTGTGGTGGTGAGTGTGATGAGTGAGTGTGGTGAGTGAGTGTGGTGAGTGTGGTGAGTGAGTGTGAGTGGTGAATGGTGAGTGTGGTGAGTGTGAGTGGTGAGTGTGATTGTGAGTGGTGAGTGTGTGTGGTGAGTGTAGTGAGTGTGGTGAGTGAGTGTGAGTGGTGAATGGTGAGTGTGGTGAGTGAGTGTGGTGAGTGGTGAGTGTAGTGAGTGTGGTGAGTGTAGTGAGTGTGGTGAGTGAGTGTGAGTGAGTGGTGAGTGTGGTGAGTGTGAGTGGTGAGTGAGTGTGAGTGGTGAGTGTGGTGAGTGTGGTGAGTGTGAGTGGTGAGTGTGGTGAGTGAGTGAGTGTGGTGAGT